ATTTGACTGATCACCCAACCATCCTTATCTTCAATTATTCACTACAGTCAACCATCAACCCACAATTATAAAACCACTTTTATTTTAATGAAGCCTTTTGGATAATGTAAGGGTAGCCAAGAACGTCAAACTGTTGAGTCATTTATAACCGATCTAGCAGAATGAGTTTTAGCGGCAGCTAGGTAGATTAAATCTCTTCTAATGCCTTTATATTCTTGATCTTAGCGTATCCAATTAGAAGATTAAAAAATCAATATAAACCATTATTTGTTTTGTAAAATATATTATAAGAGTTGAATATTTTTTAAAACTTGGTAAAAAGGAGGGTAAGATAAAAAACTCTGAAACATCTGGCATTTTGGCCAATAATTGTGATTTATTTTATCTTTGGTAAGTTGAAAAAATCTCTTGACATCAATATTTTACTGTTTGTGGGTATGTGTGTGTTTTTATTTATTTAGGTACAAGTATTTATTTTTTAAAAATTTTTATTTAATTTATTTTTTTTTATTTTTTAAGGATCCCTCTGTTGTCGTAATTTAGACCTAATGGAATGGATTTATAAATTTTGGCTCCTTTTTTTGTTTCAAGGTATACTTAAAACTTTCAAACATTAACTATTAAGGTTAATGATTTATAATTAAAGACAACATCTACTTTTAGTGAATACTAGAGTTTTATTTTTTTATGCTTCAAACAATTATTTCAGTTTAAAATTGTTGAAGTATCATTTAGTAGTTCAGGCTTTAATAACCACAGCCAAGAGGTACTCGATCAGTAAAGAATAAAACATAAAGCTATACAACCACTGATTCTCGTAATGATTATTCTTCCTGAGATATCCAAGGATTGTCAACCTACTGGAGAGAATTAACGCTGATCAGACATAAGAGTGATGATCCTATCTATTTATCTTAATCGGAAACAGCGATGTTGTTTTCCAGGATGTCAGTTGCCGCTTGGAGATTCAGTTCATGGATTAAATGGTCTTTTTAGAAAAGGAAGTATAGGTCCTTACCTGCTGACCTTCAAAAGCCATTATCTGCGTATCTAAATGATTTATCATTGTCCTTGAACTCGACTGAGTCAACAGGAAGGATACTGCTGAACAGGCTCTAAAGTGATCAGTTATGGAGCTATAACTGAACACGGATAGCTGTCATTGATGCATGGAAACCAAATAACATTTTAGCAACCTGAGATTGGGAGACAACCTCCTGGCTATTTGTGCTCTCGTAACCATTATGTTTCTATAAGAAGACCACATCACACCATCAAAGATCTCCAGTACTCTTTATTTAAAAAGTATTTCATGAGTTATTTATTCATCTATATTTAAATTCATATTTTTGACCCATTTAATTAAGGTTATTAATCCGTGGTACAGACCCCTTTTTATATAATTATTAACATCCGGCTGAAACTTCGTGAATAGCTTCATCTCATCGTAACCTACAAGTATTTTATTTACAAAAACTCTTGGAATTGGGGCGGTTTCAATCTGGAGATCGGCAAACTATGTCTATTTAGGCACTAAAAACTCGTAAATACCCATTTGCTTTCGACTTGTATCGTTAGAAAGTAGTCTAGAAAAGTTATTTTTAGACTACTTTTTTAAATTATCTGCAAATTCACATTATTTGAAATTTAGCCTAATAACGGTTATTACGTTTTTCAAAAAAAGGGCTTTTAACTTGAGTACGTTTAACATAGCTTTAATTACATTATTGCTATGCATTGAGAGAGATAGCTTTCTATTTTTCTATGAGTTTGGTTATTCATAATATTAGAACAAATTGATGCACACTTTTGAAAATAAATATATATATATATATATATATATATATATATATATATAATATATATATATATATATATATATATATATATAATAAATTGGTAATTTATTTCCAAAGTAAACCACTATCATTGAAAATTGTTTTTTAAAATCAAAACAATTTTTAAAAAATAAATGAAGAAATTCTTTATATGCAACAAATATTGAAGAATTAATTAAGAAATGCAACACATACTAAGATGATCATAGATTATTTTAACATTAATTTAAAAATATTGGAACTTGAATAGGAACACTTCTGGGACGATTTGAATTTCAAGTCCTATTATTTGGGGAGAGAACAAATTAAAATTGTTTTATTAAAAGTTACTTATTTGATTGTAATAATGGTGTTATAATAAAGTTATTTTTAATATACATAAAAGATTGTTAAATGAATTATTTTTTTTAAATACTTAAAAATGTAAACATCGTTACATTTCTTAAAATAAAGGCCAGCTTTAAAATTAATCTTATTTTCATGTCATTTTTTTCAATATTCAGTTTCTGCTCAAGGTTTATAAATTTATTATTTTAATCTATAAATAAAAATAGGACTTGTAGTTTTTAAAACTTCTATTTTATCTTTGGAATAATATATCTGTACATTTTTAAAATGGTATGTGTTTCTTAAAATCTTATGGCCAAGAAAAGAAAAAAAATCCTAATCTTATTAATTTGCTTTCACAAACTTATATCTTTTTTTGATTGTTTTCAATTGCTTTAAAGTTATTATCTTAAGGAAGTTCGTTTGATCCATTGACTTTTAAAGTTAAGAAAATTATCTAGTTTTCTTAACTTATAAATCATAAAATATATTGTACTCTTCTTGAGTACACTCTCTCGCAACTCACATATGCAGTAGTTTATATAACCAATATCTTTATTAATAATATTTAAGCATTCAAAATTTTTGTTGTTCATAATGCTTTTGGTTTATGCTGAATTTAATTATTTTTAATTTTATAGGTCTGAAAAAAAAAAAAAAAAAAAATCAACGATCTAAGACAAATACAAAATTTGAACAAAGTATTTACATGCATGTTTAATTGAGACAGGTATAAGTGAAATACTTTTTAACTGATTGTTAAAAGAGGGGAAAAAAAAATAATTTTGCTATTCTTGCTGTCAACAAGTTTTTTATAAAGTATTTAATATTTTTCTATATGTATATGTGTAATTTAATTTAAATATAATCGTGTTTCTTTCAAAACACCCATTTATTGATATCATTGCTTCTTGAATATATTTTCCAGTTAATTTTTATTAATTTATTTTTACATTTTTGAGTTAAGAGTGGATTTATACACATTATGAATACATTTATCTATAGCCTCATCCTTTATTGAAAAAATAAAATATATTCCTTAATCCACGGGTGCTGAAATTGTGCTTGCCTATCCTAACCTTTCACAGCGATCACCACGACAACCAGTAACCACAATCCTCTCAGGGCTGCTCTTCAACCATTTTTTTTTTTTCATAACACGTCTAATAAGTAATAATTAGAATTATAAACCTGTTTTTTTTAATTGTCATTATCGATATAATAGTTTTTAACAATATTTTATAGTCAATTGTTAATTTTTTTTTTCCAAATATGAAAAAGAAATTACAAAATTAGTAATTTTGCATTAAAATACCTTATCTGATCACTAATAAGGTTTTCTTTTGCCCAACTTGTATTTTATTTTATAATAATTCTGTGCATGTGATGAAACACTGACCAATAAAATTCATTTTAAATATAGTATTTTGTTAAATATTTATAATTCTTAAAATGAAACTTTATATCTTGTATGAATTTTTAATTTATTATTAAATAATTGTTTATAAGAATCCAGAAAAACATAAACAAGTTGGTGGCCACCACGTGACTCTCAACCTATAATACCCTCAAGTAGAAAAAGATTGAGGACTCCTGCCGTATATCAAAGAAATGCCATCAGAAATCTATTTTGGGAAACTTTAACGTCTAGAAGTTCATTTGTTTTATAGTTTGTTTATTAATAAAGAATGTGACTTTTCTAATTAATTTTCTCCATTAGAAGAATTGCACTTGTAAAAATATTTGTAGGGATTTAATAAATTTTAATTTTACAAGATGTATGCATGCCTAAGTTTTACTAGTGTTATTTATTTATAGTACTCTATTTTTAAGATAAATTGAAACATGTGTTCTAGGTAGAGGCAACCGTTCCACTCATTTCAATACCTTCAATCCCCGAACCTCAAGCTCAGATCCCGAAAGAATAACCTCCAGTATGGATATCGCCTTTCTGCGGCTATTTTCTATTCTTTTTTTTTTATTTATTATCCTGAACAATTATTGTGAATAGTCAGTATTTTTCAGTTTAAAAATTAATAAATGTATTAATCATTCAATTGATTTAATATTAAATCGTCAATTACTTTTCTGTTTTTTATAATCTATTCATATTAATTTTTTTTATAATTGCCATTTGGTTAAACCAGATCTTGTATTATATCGATTAAATAATATATAAATTTGTTTCAAGCAAAGTATTAAATTTTGAAAGTGAGTTTTTTGAATTATTTGTTTTCATTTAATTTTTCTTCACGGCATGTTGTCTATTTGTTAAAAAAAAAAAAAAAAGCATCAAAATGCTTTTCACTTTTGTTAAATAGTTTAATTTGTGAAGTATTGATTAAGTTTGTTTATTTATTTGTAAATAATATTATCTCTGAAGATATTAACAATCAAAGTGTTTTGTATATACAATATGTGCTCTTAAAAGCGTTTTAAATTTCCGTTTAGATAAATTTTTTACGATAAGGTTAAAAACCAAGAAAAAAAATGTTCATATAGAAAAATTAAAGATCTATGAAGCATCTATAGGAAGTTTTATTTTATTTTGTAATTTCTTTTTTAGGTTTTCAGTAATGTTTCCCTGAAAGTATTACTAAAATTTTACATGTGGTTATTTATTTATAAAAATGATTATTCTAAAACAGCATAATATGTTGCATTTAAAGTAACAATGAATAAATATGGAATCATATTTACTTATTCTAATCATTATAAGTAGATTGTAGAAATATCAAATTATAGAAAATACTCTGTATACAATTATAGAATGCCTTTAAATTAATTATTAGTTATTTTTCGTTCCAAATTGGATATTATATTAAATTTTATAAAATGCTGCCAGAAATTCAATTTCTTGTACGTGCATTTCCTTCACCTGATAAAGACTGGAATAATGTGAAGTTAGATGCTGATCAAAAGGTGAGTGAATGAGTAGATAAGATTTGAATTTTATAAAAATTTAAAATTCAATTCTGTTTTTATTTATAAAACTGAAGAGTGTAAATTTGAAATAAATTGTAATCTTAAAACAAGCCTTATTAAATGCCTGATGGTTATTAGAATAAACATTGATTACTTTATTATCTGAAGTGGTTCTAGTTTTAGAATAAAAGTATTGTAATATGAGTATTTTTGTCATATTACACTCATTTTTTGTTGGTTTTATAATAAGGTTAGTAAAACCCGAACAGCTAAGAAAAATTTTGGGTGTAAAGTGAATTATAATTAATTGATTTAAAATAATGCAAGTTTCCGCCTTTGTTACATTTTAAAACCAATTTTGTAAATAAAACAAGTCTTTAATGTTAATTCCATCTGCGTCAGAATAAACCTTATTCTATATCCTCCTCTCTTTGATCTTAAATTCAATGAAGAAATCATATTTTCAATTTTTTTTTTTTAAGTGTAAAAAGAAAATATCTTAGTGTTATTTCATATAATTTATTTTTTACAAATTTAAAGTATGGATCAGTACTCTATGAATTGTCTTTATTATCAATGAAGTATGGTTTTAAGAAGGAACAAATGAATGCACATTGCACTATTGGTTTCAGAAGTTTCGCTGTTACGAATGTTATAATGGTCAATTTGTCAGTTTTTTTGGTAACAGCTTTCTTAATCGTGATGACAATCACTATAAGGAAAATGATGCTATGTCTTCAGACTAGATTAATCAGAGAATAAAATTCTCGATGAGTTTAAGATATAAATTGTGATATTTTTTAAGTAACTATACAAAATTGAAATTCATACCCCAGACGAAAGATCAGAACACATTAACGATTACGAGCAATTTTTGCCATCCTGGAGTCCAGATTTATCACTTGATGGACACACTGCCAGAAAGAGCATGTTAAAGAAATGTTTAAATAATGAAAATGAGTTTTAAAAAATCTTAATTTAATCTTATTTTGTTTGTTTATTTAGTACTATTTAATTATTAGATTATTTCGTGAGGGGAAAAAAATTTCCAGATGGTAGGAAGAGTGCTGACAAAAACGGGATTAGGCTGGGGTGCACAGAAAGGGAACATTTTGATGGTGTTATAAATTTTCAGAGTGAAAAGTTTCAAACCAGGGAAGGGAACAAGGGAGAATAGATGGGCAAGTGTAATTATAAATGTTCTACAATTTTACTAATTCTATTTTTGTTTGCACTGTTTTTAAGAAGAGAAAGAAATAAAGTTTTTTATGAGGGGAGAGTTCCGGGGTCTTTTATCTTGGGGGGGAGGGAGGTGAAGGGTCACTCCTGAGACTAGGAGGTTTTAAACTTTAAATGTAACCTAGACCATTCATATTTAATTACTTTATTTATTGAATATTTTATTAATTCAGTTCTAAAACTACAAGGTATGAATGTGGCATTACAATGAAGGATATTTGGCCATGGAACATCTTTTTATTTTATTTTATTACACTCCACCTATGGTAAATAAATTTTTCTTTTTTTTTTTTTTGTAGTGAAAGTTATATCTTCCCAGCATAATTTTTTTATTTGCTAACACACAATATTTCGGACTCCTACTCCATCAATGGGTATTTTCTTTCATTGCTCCAAATATCGTCATATAAATCCATAATATGTTATATCATACTTTTTCACCATTATTTGTTTAAATTGTTCTGTTGTGAAGATAACCTTAACCAAAGGTGGATCTACTGGGGGGGGGGGAGGCTTTCGAGCTTAAGCCCCTCCCCCTCCCCCCAAAAATGGTAAAATATAACCATGTTTTACAGAAAAAGATATTAAAAACTATTTCTTAAGTATTCTTGTTCTTTTAATTACATTTAATAGGACTTCAAGAATCACTTAAACACCATTTCATATAAGTAGTTAATTTCTTTCTCTTTTTTTCAAATTAATTATTATTATATGTATATGAAAAAAAAAACTTTCGGGCTGAAGCCCCCCCCCTAAATTAAATCCTGGATCCGCTAGTGATCTTAACTCCTTGCATTGTTCAAATCCAAGGTATATTTCAAACTACTGTAACTGGTAAACGCATTTAGAAATAAATAATAATAATAAACTAATCTTTTCTACATTAACAAGACACTCTTAAAATTGCTGCACCCTAAAAAAAAAATAAAAAATCTAGGAGAAAAAGATCAATCTGGCGTTGGGCCGGTAATCGATAGTTATAACTATCGATAACTCAGTAAATTACCGCCACCGACTTCAGAAGGAATTGATTGGTCAAGGCAAGTTTATTTAATTATCTTTTCTTCTTTTCGATGAATGCTTTAATAACTTATTTAATATATATATATAAAATGGTCTATAATATTTATTATAATAATTATTTTTTCTGGATACAATTTAGAGCATTTAAGTTTGTGTGGGTTATTAAAAAAACAAATAAACAATTAAAAATTTTATTGACAGGAAAGTAAATTACGTGAGTGTGTGGTTGTGGAGAGGGGAGAAGGATGGAATAATATAAATGCATATTGTTCTTTAATTTACTAAATAATAATTTCTTAAATGTAATTTAATAACATTACCTTATAATATAATGAAATTGTGTTGGCATCAGTATAATTATTTTAGGGAATAAAAAGAAGAGATAAGGGCATTATTTTTTCATCAACACAATTGCTGTTGTTGATATATCTATTTCTAAAGTCGGGTATAGACACTTCAAAAACACAAATGAACAAAAACTGACATTAGTTTATTTTCAGGAAAACAAACAAAATGAAAGTTGGTAATCACATTTCTCCTAATCTATTATAATTTAAAAAAGAAAGTAAGAGAACCAAAAGAAAATGAATACCTGTATCACTCAACCCATGGGAAGATCTTAGATTTAGTCCTTTGTTAAGAAGAATTATTACAAGACCAACGGTTACGCAGGAGGGATGATCGGGCAAGATCACGCTCAACCAGTATGTTTTCCCCCATAATTAATTATTTAATTAAACGTACTCACTTTATAGAGGCTGGGTGTGTCCCAGGAGGATCTCCCGAAACCCTGGGAGGATAAAGATCTTCGGTTAATGAAAAATGCAAAATAAAAAAAATATAATAAGACGAATAAAAATAGGAAATGAAAGAAGACATAAAATTCATCAAAGAAGACAGAGGATTCACTAGCGGATTCAGAATTTAGTTTTGGAGAGGGGAGGGGGTTTCAGCCCGAAAGATTATATTTGATAATATATGACGATATTTACTTAGGGAAAAAAAGAAATAAACTAACTCTACATGAAATAGAGTTTAAGTGATTCTTGAAGTACTATTAACAGTCATTACACGAACAATAATACATTTAGAGATAATTATTTTTTTTTTCATAAGACATGGTTATATTTGATCATTTTTTTTGGGAGGGGGGGCTTCACCCCGAAAGTCCTCGCCCCTCTCTCTCTCCGTAGATCCGTATGTGGTCTAGAGCAACTACTGATTTTGACATTTATGTTCCCATAATTGTTGAAGTGTCTCATAAACGTACCTTAAAGATGCGTTATAACTTGACTAAAAGCGACATTATTCCTTATTAGCGACATTGTACCAAACTATTTGGTTTGTTTCTCATAACACCGACAGCAAATGGAGAATATCAAAAGCAAGAAACAAAAATATTAACATAGTGAAATAACCATTTATATATTTGTTTGTCCCATAGTTTGTGAAATGTCTAAACGCACCTTTAGATTAACGGTAATTAGAACTATCGATATACCGATAATTCATTGGCCACTACACTCGAGTAACCACTCCTAAGCCAAATCAAATATCCCATTTACACGCTCGCACTAACGGATCCAGTATTTAATTATTTTTTTTGGGGGGGGAGGCTTCAGTCCGTAAGATTTTATTTTTATGTACATCTTAAGATAATTACTTCGGAAGAAAGAAAGAAACTATGTACCTAAATGAAATAGTGTTTATGTGATTCTTTAAGTCCTAATAATTGTAATTAGACCAACAATAATAGAGATAATTTTTTTCATAAAACGTGGTTGTATTTTACCACTTTGGGGGAGACTTCAGCCCGAAAGCTTCCCTCCTCCCTTCGCTCGTTGTTATTGTCTGGCAAACGTTGAAACGCGACTCAATGCAAAGACCCATTTATATTAATTTTTAATCCCACGTTACTGATTTAATTTTTCTTAGAACGTGGACATTATTTTGCTTATAATATTGTCAATTGGTGGTAAATATTGTCAAATAGCTTCGCCATATGTTTTCTTCTAATTGATTTCGTTTGATGTTTATTTTAGCTGATTTACCTAAGGAGTCTTGAAGATTTGAGAAGAGGTAAATCTGGTAGCAATATTTATTGGCAATTCAAAGTTGATGGCATATTCGTGAATGCTGGCCAAGAAGAATTTTATCATGCGGTTATTCCAAAGGATCTACTGCAAAAGTTATCGAATAGTTTCCTTTTGTTATAAATATATACTTAATATTTATTATGTAGTGATACATTACTTTAGTAGTATTTAAATATCGTATAAGAAATTATTTTAACTTGGTATTAGGAGGGGAGCCCAAAGGGGGGTTATATGGCGCAAGTTGAGGGGGGCACCTCTCGGAATTTTCGGAATGAAAAGTTTCTGAATAAGGTACAAGGAGAAAGCATGGAACATACTGCAGTGTAAATGTATATGATCTAAAAGTTGAATTTTAAATAACACCTCATTTCTCAATAGAAATTTCCTACTTCACTTATGCAAGTTATAGTTAAATATTAAAAGAGACAATAGTGATTTTTTTTTTCTGCATGAATAAGATAATTTCAGGAAAGTTTAATAGCTATTGAAATTGTTAACTGATTTTTTTTTGGCGAATATTAAGTGAAGTTGAGAAATAAATGAAGTCGTAATGGTGTTATTAAAAAGTTTACAAACTCATTCTCAAGATATTCTCGAGACTAGCGACGCTGGATTGAATACAGTATGGTCAGGTTAAAATTTATTTCCGACGGACACACAAAATAAATCTTGACCTTATCAACCTGGCTAGAATAAGTAACCGAAAAAAAATATCGTATTGTAAATCTATTAAAATGAGCAGTTATAAGCTAGATTAGGTATCTCCAAAGTTTATTGCATGATTTGTTTCTCTTAGGGCCAGTTGCTCCAAATCAGTAAAACTTAGATTAAGCGTTATCTAAGATAAAACCAAGTTATCTAAGGTCGTCCGATAAAGATTAAACTTAGTTTATCTTAGATAACGTTTAATCTAATTTTTACTGTTTATTATTTTCTTCACAAGCCATGGCCCACGGGATACTTAGTGTAATTCCAAATATGGCCGCAGACCAAAACGTTTGGAGACACCTGAGCTAGATAATAAATATTTTTTATAAATATTAAATATTCGTTTTAAGTGCTGTTTTTAAGAACGCTTAGATGTTTAAGTTATTTAAAGTAAAACCTTCTGAAATGTAGTGCACGTTTATTCCAAATTATACTATAGTTTTCTTATTATTCGAAAAACTGATAAAAAATGATGGTGTTTCCATGGAAACCAACGCGAAATACTTTTGAAAACATGGATACAGAGTACAATCCGAAATATCTTTGCGAATCCTTGTTCTAATTTATTTCGTAGATAATATTATTTTCTAATCTTTCTAGTGATTAGAAATAATTCTAATGTTAAAGGAATTGTAATATTCGATTACAAGAGTAGAGATAGCGAAGTAAAAATATTGAGTTTTAAATATATTAAGCAGAAAGAATAATAATTTAAAATTATAAGGTAAACAATTTCTTTGTATTTTATAGGATTTCTATTGTTTAACAGCTGTTATTTCTTAACTTTCTCTCTATTGCCGTTGGCAACGGCCTTGGCATGTTTTTTTTATGCGAGTGGATATTTCGGCAACACATTGTCGTGTTTGTAAAGAACTTTACCGCCGATAATAGGAGCAACGGGCATGACGATGTTCAAGGATATTAGTATTGTTAAATTGCTGCAAAAGAAATTTAAAAAAGCTAAATCTGGAAGTTGGAATAAAATGAACAAATCTGTAATTATTTATTCGCCGGTTAATTAAAGGGATGTATTTATAAAACATTGAATCGATCTCCAAATAAATAAAATCACATCTAGATTTAACTGTAGTTATTTTATTTATAACTTTTTTTTTTCTGTTGGCATTACAGACCAAGTAGATCTGTTGCTGCCTTAACAAGCCTGCTCTCATCTCTGCCTGTCTTGGGCTATTTCTTGCCAGTTATCTGCACGCGACTCAATTGCATCTTTGTTTATTCTATCTATCCATATGCTTTTTGGCCTTCCATGTGGTCTTTTGCCTTCTATTGAGGCATTTATTGTTATGTAGAGGCTTCCAGATGGATTGCTAAGAGCTACATGCGCTGCCCATCTTAACCTCCGTGCCTTCATATCATGGTATATTGATTGACCAGTTTCTGTAAGCAGTTCTTTATTGATCTTTCTTCTCCATGTGTTAGTACTCTGATCCTAGGCCGCTCTGGTTATAGTGCGGAGGATTTTTCTCTCAAATCTTTCCATACTTTTTTCTAAGGTGCTGGTTAGTGTTCAGGTCTCACAGCCGTATATTAGAACTGGCTTCATCATAGCATTGTAAACCCTCAATTTGAGATTTTTCGGGATTTCAATACCTTTGAGAGGGAGAAGAAAGCTCTGTTTGCGCTAGTTATACGCTGGTCTATTTCTGCCCGTTGGTCATTCATTGAGGTTATTGTGGAGCCGAGGTATTTGAATTTTTCTACTCTCGGGAATGATTTTCTTTTTACGGAGATCTGTTATTGGAGTGGAATTTTCGGCGTATTATTTTATTTATAATATGAATTATATGTACGTAGGTACGTTATGAAAAAAATTGAAAATATGCATAAAAAAACACAACTTATTGTACCACTACAACCCTATGGAAAGAGTATTGGGTTCAGAACGGGCAAGTTCTTAACTTAAACACGGCACTAATTTCATCGATTGAAATCCATCAATCAATTAAATTCAGCACCGATGGACATCGCCTCATACTGAGTTTAGGAACGACCTGTTGGATTTCAACTGAAGGTTAATAAAGCCCCTCGAAGATTACAAAAACATGAAACATAATAAAAGAGAATGCAATGCCTACTGAATTACTGCCCTTGGTGAAATCTCAATCCTGGGACCTAAAACTCATAAGACTACGCTGACAACAAGGATATAAATTCAATATAAGTTGTCTAATTTTTTAAAGAATAATTCTTTAATTTTTTTGTTTATTATTTTCAATAAGAACCGTTGTAATCGAACAAAAAATTAAAAAATTAAACCGCCTCTCAAAATTTGATGTTTTACGTTTCAATTATATACGTATAATTCGAAAAACGAATGCAAAAGATTTTTGTCCTCACGCCGTCCGCCGTCCGCTCATTGTCTCCGAAACTACTGGTCCGATTTTTTTCAAATTTGGATTTAAAATCAGAGGTCACCTGAGAATGATCCTCCTTCATCGAAATTACTATCAGCTTTTTCCTTTCAAGATGGCGGCGTTGACAAACCTGCGTTGCTATATGACTGTAGCGCCTGAACGAATGTACCGATTTCAATGAAAAAAAGCTTGAAAAAAACTTAAGAGGGATGGTAAAATTAGATAACGAATAACTAAGAAACTATACACTTTTTTCAATATTGTAACACAATGTTTCAAAGGTATTTAAATTTCCTAAAAAGCGGAGAAAGTTTCATCGAACTCAGAGCACTATTAGCGAAGATATCGTGATTTTTAAATATTTTTGGTATATTATTTTTAATGTGGTCGAACAAAAAATTCAAAAACTTAACTCCCTCTCAAACTTGGAGGTTTTTAATTATCTAATCGATTCATTTAATATGATAAATTAATGGAAACTAAATTAGAACAAAACATAAGATGGCAGCTGGCCAGAACCTCATATGATCAAACTGTAAATGAAATTAAATATATATAAAATACCTTGATACAGAAGGCTCAGCGAAATTTGTTGGTATCGTCATTTTATTTCTAGATTCGCCTTTAGTGCAAAATGAAAAAAAGGCTCTTGATCCTACAAACGATGAGGATTAAGATCTCAAAACATTAAAAGAAAAAGAGGGAATCTATAAAAAATGCATTCTTACAGGAGAAATATAAAGGAACATGACGAGAGAGAATTTTTGGTTCGGAAGTGGAGGAGTGATTCCACTTTCAACTGCTGAGTTTTTGGAAAAGCTGGGTGTGGAAAGGATTATGGCGAAATCTATTATTTTGGATTCATTAGGAAACCTGCACCATCAACTTTATTAATTCTGCCCATTTCGTTCTGAGATTTACGGACAGAAGTGTGATGGAGGAAAAGGAGGAGAAAATTATAACAATGAATGAATAATTTATAACATTGGGTGCTTTGGATGATAATCCCGTAAAACTTTACCCTTTTTGTTCTGTATTATTAAACAGAGTTGAGAAGCTGTACAGTTATATTTTACTTCTCTCTAGTCCACTGCTTTCTGTATATTATGTATTAATTGGGAATATAGTCCGTGGCAGAGAAGCCATTTTATCAAATTATTAACATCAGCCTGAAACTTTGTAAATAGCTTCATCTCATCGTTACCTGCAACTATTTTATTTATGAAAACTCTTGGAATTGGGCGATTTCAATCTGGAGGGGGGGCAAACTTTGTCTATTTAATTAGGTACTAAAAACTCGTAAATACCCATTTGTTTCCACTTGAATCGTAAAATAATTTGAGGACAAAGTCGAGAAAAAAAGTGGCCTTCAAAAATATTGAGACGTTTGGCGTGACCTACACCTCCAAATTGTCAAAATAACGAGGTTTTATAGACAAAACTGCCCAATATTTTTGTAGGCCACCTTTTTATACTTTCGTACCTATACTAGGTAAGGAAAGTATTGCAATCGGGTCCAATTTGCGATTTACGGTTTTCGACCGATCTATACGTTTCAGAGCCCCCGAAAAATACACCGTTCAGCCTTTTTTTTTTTTTTTTCATATCCTGGTGTCAGAAAGGGGTGAATGAGAGAAAAAGATAACTAAGTGAAAGTAAGAAAATCTGTTTCCCGCATCACACAAACTTCACTATTTCCGCTAATTTTAACTGAAATTATTGTTTGACAAAATTAGGTTATGGCAAAAAGTTTTTGATCAGCAATATTAGAGGATTATTGAAATTTTTACACTGATCTACCTTAAGCCGGTTTACATTCCTTTAGTTTATCAAATAAATCGGTACTCAAATCTTTTCTTTGATCAATTTTCAGGAAAATAAATCTAATTCAATTTTGGTTTTGTTTCTTGATGGACATGGATATGTAAAGATATAAATATTTTTCTGAAATAGGTAGGAGAGTCGTGTGAGTGGAAACACCAGATTTTTTTTTATCGATTTTGTGATAAAATTATCTTACGATCCAAGTGGAAAGCAAATGGGTATTTACGAGTTTTTATCACCTAATTAAATAGACAAAGTTTGCCAACCTCTAGATTGAAAACGTCCCAATTCCAAGAGTTTTCGTAATTAAAAACGTTGTAGGTTACGATATGATAAAGCTATTTACGAAGTTTCAGGCTGATGTTATTAATTTGATAAAAAGGGGTCTGTACCATTGACTAATACAAATGGTTATTAAAATTATTACTGCTTCAATTAGATTTCAGTGAAAATCGGTGTTGCCGAATATTTAAAATAATCCATTGTCTATTTTTAATTCCTACCGTTAGTTCTTAATTTCGTAAATAAGGGATCGTGATTTGTGTACGAACCTTAAAAATTGTGTTAAAATTCGATTAAATTGCATATTTGGCGTTTAACATATTATAATCCTCATACCAGACTGAAACGACAAGAAACAGCTCGACGTTTCCGACTACTGCAGCACTTACTACACAAACGCTCTAACCTCCCAGTCAATTACAAAAGACTCATATACATGACTACAATAAGACCTATTTGGACTTACGGAGTTGAGCTCTGGGGCTCCACTAAGCCATCGAATTCGTCTCGTATCCAATCCTTACAATCCAAAATCCTTCGTAAAATCCTCACAGCTCCTTACTTCGTCACAAACAAAATCATCCATAACGACCTTAATGTTTCTTATGTTTCTGATCTGGCCCAATCCAGATACCTTTCCTTCCATAACAAACTTCTGAACCATCCTAACCATCTCGTTTCCTTTTAACCTTGCTTCCTTTTCGATCCCTGACAACCCTCCGAGGCGTCTGAAAAGATGATGGCCTCGAGATCTCCTTTTGTAAATACATTTTTAGAGTGCTACCAGTGGGTAGTTTCTCAACAAGTGACTTCATGTTATTATATTCTTTTGTTCACATTTACTGAATGTATTTTTACTTGTAATACAGATGTAAATATCATCAATAAATAAAAATAAAAATAAAAAAAACATAATATAATCTTTAAGATGTGAAGATAGTTCGTATTTCTTTCGGCTGGATTTGGCTGCATTTAGAAATGTTCGGAATCCCATCTACAGTTTAATTACCTGAGCTCATGACCAGCCGCCACCTTGATAGCTGTTTTAGACAAGTAACAATCGATCTATCGATTTATTTTAACGATATTATTGATATTTGCAGAGTGTTCAAAGGGAAAGATCTTGTCATTTTATGTTTTGGAAGTTCGAATACTGGAAAGTCCTATTCTGCCTTCGGAATTTACAACAGATTTGAGGTATGCGAGATCATAAGTTGAGAATCATTAAATAACAATAGTTAAAAAGAAAATTGATTATGACAACTAATCGATCCAATGTAATTTCTTTTAAAAAAATTATTTACAGTATCGAGGAATAGGCCCCAGATTACTCGAAGACCTCTTCAAATCAAAGGATGAACTCGCTGATTTTTATAAAATCGATATATCTTTAGCTTATGTCGAAATTATTGGAAAATATATTCACAATCTTCTAGAGAAAGGTAAACCAAAAATCATGAATAAAGGAAGAAAAACGTATCATGTAAGTACAATATTATAATATATATAATAACCATCACTACATTGATGTTTGTTGGACCAGACGCAACTTTTCACTCTTGTCTTTGTATTCGTAGTTTTGTTCAGCCACTAGTCAAGGAAACTCATATTCCATGAGGATATCTAAAACAAAATAAAATGATACAATAACTTCTACCTCTCGCCGCCATAGGCGCCGATTTATGAAAATTATTAGGGCGATCCGAACTATAAGATCACGAGGTACCAGGGGTCTTGGAAGATGGTGATATTGTTTGGAATGTATCTTATATGCCTATATGCAATACATAATATATGCCTGTATGAAAAATTACCATCTCAGGCAAATATTGGGTTGTTTCAATAGGCGATTCCTTTTACAGTTTGAGTAAGTTTATAAATTTAAAATTCCCAGTCCGCTGGTGTTCCTCAAGCTAGTATCCTAGGTTCTATCCTTTACACAGTTTATACAGCTGACATCTCAACGCATCCTAATACTGTTATTACCATGTAAGCCGATGACACATGGACCCTATCAGTAAACAATAGCTCATCAATTGCATCCCAAATGCTTCAACCACATATCATGAATCTTGAAGAATGGTGTCAAAACTGGAGAATTAAAATAACTTCCAATAAATCCCACCAAATTACCTTTACCCTTCGTCGCAAACTTATGACTTCCTGTCCTACAGTTTCCTTTAACAATACTCCACTTTTCCCTGATGAGCAAATCCGATACCTAGGACTCCATCTAGACAAATGTCTAACTTGGAATCCTCATACCAGACTGAAAAGACAAGAAACCGCTCGACGTTTCCGATTACTTCAGCACATACTAGCCAAACGCTCTAAACTTCCAATTAATTACTAAAGACTCATATACATGACTATAATAAGGCCTATAGCAAAAACCTGTGCTGCTATAGACTGTGGCGCCTAAACGAATGTACCGATTTCAATGAAACTTCGCTGAAGTCTACTTCTCGATACCCTTTACATTTATCTATATGACGTAGTTCAACGAAAAGAAGTAATAAACTGAGACAAATTACTATAAATGGCCTTGTAATTTGGAAATGAGTTTCCTTTAATAGGCATACAGGATATATTCTAAACAATATCACTCCCCTTCCAGACCCCTCCTACTCCGTGATCTTATCATTCGTCCCCCCTCCCCCCAAATAATTTTCATAAGTCAGCGCCTAAGATTCCCGATACATATAAACAATTGTTACTATGTATTTATTGTATTAATATTGTTTTGAAAACTACATTTTTTTTTTTTTTACTAACAGGGGTTCGGAACCCGCTTGGAAACGATATGCCAAGGGATGAAACTTATATTTGATGGAGACGAACGCCGAAACTTGGAACATGAAAGCTCTCATTGTGGCACGTCCATTCTGACTTTCGACATCACTTCCACCTCGCTACTTCCTTGCAATCCTGTCACCATCTCTGGGAGGGTATGATTTTTACATTATTATATTTATAATTAAATTCATTATGATGTGATAAATTATATTTTCTCATTAAATTACACAATTTCCTGTTTTTTAAACTCAACACAAAAACGCTGCAAATTATTTCACAATGGTTTATTATTTCCAAACAACTATACATCTAAAGTAACATTACCTTCCTAGTTACGAAGAAAAATAAATAAAAGGTGATTCCAATTATTGGACTAAACTTTTTTTTTTAATCATTAGTAATATGCTAAAAAAAATATCGTTACTTCAGTAACACATTCAAAATTAAAAACCAAGCAAAGGATATAACATTTGGAGTAGAACATATAAAAAAAAAACTGGAGACCATATCTTTGCTACTAATAGTCCGATTTTAACGATTTTTTTTAGGAAATTCCATAAAGTTTTAAAAAACCATATACAAAGTGTATGTTTTTTTTGAGTTATTCGGAATTAAATTTTACCATTCCCCGTTACCTTTTTTCGTTGAAGTATGTTATATAGATAAATTTAAAGGTCATCGATAAGAAGACTTTCATTGAAATCGGTACATTCGTTTAGGAGCTACAGTCTATAGCAAAGCAGGTTTTTCGGCCGCCATTTTGAAAGTAAAAGGCGGATAGTAATGTCGATGAAGGAGGATCATCCTCGGGTGACCTCTGATTTTTTTATCCAAATTTGAAAAACTCGGTCCAGTAGTTTCGGAGAAAATGCGCGGACGGCGGACGAACAAAAAAAGTTGTATTCGTTTTTCGCATTCTACGCATCCTGAAACGTGAAATCTCAAATTTTGAGAGGGGGTTCAGTTTTTGAATTTTTCAGTCGATCACAATGGTTGGTTATTGAAAATAATAAACCAAAATTTGAATTCCTTTTTTTCGGAAATTCGAACCCCACCTCATCCACAGCAGTAGCGTACGTATTCAGGATTTCATTTTTGCGGAACTTCAATTGCCCTTCTTTTTTTTTTTTTAATTTCAATTATTCCTGAAGTAAAATATGTGAACCTTATAAAATTATGATTAATTAGTTTATTTAATTACTTTGTTACCGTTAATTTATTATTTCATATTGAAATTTATATATCACATATTTTCAATTCATTAGTTATTAATTTTTTTGTTTACTACTCACATATCGTCGATTTATTGCAAACACTGAGTTTATTTATTTATTTTTTTTGGAGTTGAACGTTTAAGAACGTTTTAGTGAATTTCGTTGTTATGTTTTGAAAAAAAACAAAACAGGAATTACATTAAAATGACAAACAATTTATATAATTATAGATTTACAACGCCCCCCATTATCAAATTTTACAGGTTACAAAATATTATCTGATGATACTTCGAAATAAACCGACGATATACTAGTCCAATTTAATAATTTATTTTCCATATTGTATCACACAATCCATTATCCTCTTATGTTTAATTTAAAAAATGTTTGTAGATCTTTATGTCTTACCATAACAGACGGTAGTTATATACTTTATTTGTTCTTACGTAATATAATTTTTCATTCACTTTTTAAACTTTATTTATTAGCGAATAACATATATTATATTATTATAATAGTTGTTAAATATTTTTTTGGTTGTTAGCTTTTCTATACCCAGCTCTGATGAAGGCCAAACACTTAGGCCCAAAAATCGTAAGAAAATAATTTTATTTTATTTTTTATTCGTCACTAAATGTAACTCTCAACTAAATTCCCAACCATCGTGTCTTGAATAAATTAAACAAATAAGTGCAATAATCGTTTTTTAATTAAGCCTCAAATCATGTTAAAAAGAACTGTTAAAATTTATGCAGCGGAAATGAGATCTCTGATATCGTTATGCTATTTATGAAACACAATCAGTAGGTTGATAATTTTTTTTAACCACAGACGGCTAATCATTTATTTACCAACGGCCAAGAAACGTTATGATGAAATTTTCGGCTGCAAAATTAATTTACGTCAATTTCGACCTCTTGTTCAACATTATTACAAAAGATTCTCATTTTTTTTCTGTTTATAATTATTTCCATTGCTATAAACCTACGACAAATCGTTCTGTTGCATTCTTCAATATTATTCCACGTGAGATTCAAACACGCGGAGATCTTTTGTATGTCTTGTTGGGATAGTTCCTGTTCTGTCATTGATAACGCTGTATGTAGGGAAAAATATAAAAAGGAGGAACTTATAGGGAAAAAGGAGAGAGAGGATCTTTTTGTGCGCCTGCAAACTTTCCTTGTTGAAATAATGATTTTTTTTTTTGTTTATTTAATGGAATTTACAACTGTATACAAATACAAGTAAATATGCGCAAATATAAATAATGGCATGTACAGGCTTGAAGAGTTACTACCCAGTGGTAGCACTCTCTAAATAATTTTAAGTAAGAAGATCACGAAGCCATCTCCTTTTCAGACGCCTAGGAGGATTATCAGGAATCGAGAAAGAAGCAAGAGTGGAAACAAGCGGATTTGGATGGGAGTGAAGTTTATCATGAAAGGATAGATATCTGGCTCGAGCTAAATCAGCGACATATGGTACATTAAGGTCTTTATGAATGGTTTTATTTGTGACAAAGTATGGAGCATTAAGGATTTTACGGAGGATTTTGGATTGTAAGGATTGGATACGAAAGGAATTCGATGGTTTGGTGGAGCCCCAAAGCTCAGAAATAATGATCAACTCACAAATAAGTGCATCCAATTGAAGGAAAATTCAACAAATCAATGAAATGAAATAGAAATATTATCCTTGGAATGTTGTCCCTTTGGAACAAATTATAGATACAGAGAAAATGTCTGTGTGACCATGCATTAATTTAATTATTTACAAAATAATATCTAAATAAACATAGGAAAATAAAATAACTTAAGTAAACAAAATAGTTTCTGGGGGACTTTAAAAAGTTATCTTTTGTACATTTCGTGATCAGTCGGGTTGGTAAAGGAGTAGGTTCTTACAAAGGAGAGATTTAAATGAGGAAACTTATTGTGCATGTCCGGTATCGAGAGGGATGGTATTCCAAAAGGAGATGGCTTGAATTACAAACAATTTATCAAATGCAGCAGTTCGGTGAGGAGAAGGATAGAGATCGTAAATACGGAATCTAGTGTGTATATATATATATATATATATATATATATATATATATATATATATATATATATATATATATATATATATATATATATATATATATATATATATGCTCACCGAATAGTAATACCTTCTCCTGACCGAACTACTGCGTTTGACATATCCTTTTTAATTCAAGCTGTCTACCTCTGGAACTCTATCCTTGCTGATATTCGACACGCAAAGTCAGTACCCTTTTTCAAATCTATCCTCTTCAAACTCCAACTCCATTCCCAATCCGATTGATCATCAAATGCACTCAGAAATCTAAGTCGTAAGAGCCTCAAAGTACATCCAGATGCTTTGATTATTTTGTGATTTATTGATATTTTGTTTGTTTATTTTACTTTCTCTATCTATTTTAAGTACGTTTTTATATATTTTCATTATCTGCACTTTTTTTTTATTATCAATCGTTCTGTAAATATATAATTGTATTTTATGGACACACCAGAATGTTAATATATATTCTGTATTTATATTTTGTTCTAAAGGGACACTAGTCCCACAATAATTTTTTATTTTTTTTATTGAAATTTACAACTGTATTACACGGAAAATACAATAAGTAAATGTGACATTGGTAACATGACATGTACAGCATGAAGAGAAACTACCTATTGGTAGAACTCAAATTAAAGTTCTATATCAGAAGATCCCGAGGCCATCTTCTTTTCAGACGCCTCCGAGGGTTATCAGAGATCGAGCAGGAAGCAAGGCTAGAAACGAGAGGGTTCGGATGGTTCTGCAGTTTGTTATGGAAGGATAGGGCCAAATCGGAAACATATGGAACATTAAGGTCTTTATGGATGATTTTATTTGTGTCAAAGTAAGCAGCATTGAGGATTTTACGAAGGATTTTGGATTGTAAGGATTGGATACAAGAGGAATTCGATGGTTTAGTGGAGCCCCAAAGCTCAATTCCGTAAGTCCAAATAGGTCTTATTATTGTCATATATATGAGTCGTTTGTAATTTATTGAAAGCTTAGAGCGTTTGTCTAGTAAGTGCTGCAGTAGTCGAAAACGTCAGGCGGTTTCTAGTCGTTTCAGTCTGGTATGGGGGTTCCAAGTGAGTCGTTTGTCAAGGTGGGGTCCTAATTCCCAGCATAATAAAATTACATTCATTCATATTATCTGTATTTAATAATCATGAATGACCCAATGAAATCTTGATTTACAACCTCTTTTTGTTAGTTTGATGAAATTACGTATAGAAGCTATAGATGAATAAGATGGCGCAATATATCTTGTGTTACATAAATATTATGTTAATTTAGTCTACTTTTTTTTTTTTAGATTCATTTGATCGACACAGCAGGAACGGATTATGGAAACAGTCCAACAAAATCACTCAAGTGCCACGTGGATGCGAATCTAACAAAATGTGAGTTGAATACGATTTGTTCCTGGTATGACAATCATCCTGTTCATAAAAAAATATTTCTCCGAAGAGGTTCGACATTGGTTTTGTATTTGGGAACCACGATTACCAATAGTTACAGCAGGTGATGGTATTTACAGGTTTTATATTTTATTTATTATAGATTTTTCCTATCGGTTATTTCTAAATTATACTTCGTTCTTTTAAAGTTTATAAAGTTAGATATTGTAGTTGTAAGGTGAAAATCTGTTTTATACCTACTCCACCACGCAGGGGTGCCAATCCCCTTTCCTCCCTGAGGCCGATAGCGCATGCGTTCCTCCCCCAAAACAAAAATATCATTGCCCCTCTGACTTATATAATTCATATATATCAATATGTTCCTACCTTACTGACAGACACTTCAAAGTCAATTATAACAATGCTCATTCATCTCTTTTTACTCAGACTGCCGGTGTTCCTCAAGGTAGTATCCTAGGTCCTATTCTTTACACAGTTTATACAGCTGACATCCCAACCCAATCCAACACTGTCATCACCACCTATGCCGATGACACGTGTATCCTATCAGTTAATAACGATCCATCTATTGCATCCCAAACTCTTCAATCACACACCACAAGTCTTGAAAAATGGTGTCAAAACTGGAGGATTAAAATAAATTCCATCAAATTACCTTCACTCTTCGCCGTAAACCTATGACTTCTTGTCCTACAGTATCCTTCAACAATAGCCCTCTTATCCCTGTTGAACAAATCCGATACTTAGGACTCCACCTTGACAAACGACTCACTTGGAACCCCCATACAAGACTGAAACGACTAGAAACCGCCCGACGTTTTCGACTACTGCAGCACTTACTAGACAAACGCTCTGAGCTCACAATCAATTACAAACGACTCATATATATGGCAATAATAAGACCTATTTGGACTTACAGATTTGATCTTTGGGACTCCACTAAACCATCGAATTCCTCTCGTATCCAATCCTTACAATCCAAAATCCTTCGTAAAATCCTCAACGCTCCTTACTTTGTCACAAATAAAATCATCCCTAAAGACCTCAATGTTCCATATGTTTCCGATTTGGTCCAATCCAGGTACCTATCCTTCCATAACAAACTGCAGAACCATCCGAATCCTCTCGTTTCAAACCTTGCTTCCTCCTCGATTCCTGATAATCCTCCGAGGCTTCTGAAAAGAAGATGGCCTCGGGACCTTCAAATATAGAACTTTAATTTGAGTTCTACCAATGGGTAGTTTCTCTTCATGTTGTACATGTCATGTTACCAATTTCACATTTACTTATCGTATTTTCCATGAAATACAGTTGTAAATTTCAATAAAATAAAAAAAATAAAAAAATATATGTATCTATATGAGATGTAATATCAATGTTAGTTTAAAAGATAGCAGATATAATATTGGTTTGTTTCTCGAGAATATTAAAGGCACAATATATTACACAATTACAATCAACAAGTAACATCAGTAATATTTAGAGGAGGCAAGGCAAGAAGGTTCCTCTCTACCCTCCTCTCCGTATGCCCATGCCAGAAGTTCATTATTATTTTCTTTTAAAATATTTTTTCCTCTTAAATGAGAATTTCATCTGAAATAATTGCGAGAGCATTGTCAAAAGTGGGTAAATTATTTTAAAATAGGGGGCGATAAATTTCAGGATGCAAAAATTAGTCTTTATTTTTATAGCCATATACAAGGCACTTGTTGTATTATTTATATACACACAATGAAGGTACCTCATACCGATATTTCAAAGAAGCGGCGGTCTATGAGTTAATGCTGAAACTGGACATACGGAAGACAACGCGCTGCTTGTGTTGAGTACCAAAGATGAAATCATATCTTCTGCTCTTCCAAGTATGCGGTGCCCTTAGATATTTTATAATATACACGCAAACCTCAGTGTTTTTTTTTTGTTCTTTATTTCCTGGTTTAAATTATCTCTTAAAATTGAAAAATTGTGCCCTCTCCCCCAAAAATTCTGATGGCGAGACTTATATACTTGTTTTAAGTTAAAAAAAATCAAGATATTTAGCAAAGTATTTTTTAATTAAGTTTTATTATTATAATTATATCATTTTTACGATTGAGGTCTTCTTAAACGACCTACGTATATAATAAAGGAGGTTAAATTTTAAAAAAAATAGTAATACATTTTTTTTTTAATTTTAATTTTATTTTTACAATTAAATTAATGCATTAATATTTGTTCGTTAATAAAACCAATATAATGTTCCAAAAATGTTATTATATCACTATAACTAAGCCATTTGTGTGTACTGAATGGTGTGGTAGAGGCCTGTTGGCACCCGCGCCAGTACCGCTTAAGTGCATTTTCTACGGAACTGCTTAAAATTGTTTAAAAAATAACCAGCGTTTTAGAAAGAGAAATATATTCTCCAGATGTTTTATTTCAGCACGTTTTGCGTTATTGTTGGCCGTTTAATTACAAACGACGCTTGATTTGTAACTTGAAAATTTTTTTGTTAAAAAAATTGACTTTACTGGTGTTTTTCATAGTCTAAACCAATTATTTTTTAATATTTCTTCATGTTTTATTATTCTATAACTATTCAACTTTAATAAAGGGCCAACTATGAGGAAATTAAGCCAAATGCTGATTCTCAGTGACCAAAAAACTAACTAAAGTCAAAGTCGTCAATCCGCCATCTTTGGACGCCATTTTGGGGCAGTCCATTCACTTTTTTTTGTGGGAAGATTGGCTTTTTTTTTAATAAATAGTTACAAGGAATACAACGATATGCAATTTATATGGATGTGCACGGTAAGGTGGTCTGGCCCACCGTGTATTACCTATATATGTAATATATAGTAAGTGAAAGTATTGCGATCGTGAAAATTTTCTAATCTAAGTTTTCAATGGAAATACGTGTTTTGAGATCCCCTGAGTTCAAAATAAAAAATTGCAAATTACTCACATAAGAGGTTTATTACATCATTTATTGCATGGATATGTTTTCTTATAGTACTAGAGCCCGTGGCGAAAAAAGGTAACAACATACATGTGTATACATTGCCTTATATGATATACTGTCTTATATACAGATTAATAGCTGTGTGATAACAAAAAGAACATCTTTCTGTTTAGTTTCAGAGTTTAATCATTAAGTTATAATTGCTCTAGATTTTGAATGGTTGAAGATAAGACAGTAAAGTAATATATATTCTTAAAGGAAATTTAATATTAAACAACTTTCTTACTCGTGACTTTGTCGTAAAATGAAAAGATAAGGGTTAGCGAGTCAAATAATGATAAAAATGAGAGGCAAAAAAAAGAGGATGGATATCACGGCACTTATAGAATATAGCGAAAAACTGATATAACAATTTTGTCAGCTTCAATTTCGCATATATCAATATTCTTGATAGAACGCCTAGTTTGACTGATATAAGCGAAAAAACAAAAAAAAGTAAATTTTTGAATCGTAAATTGAATATTTCGACTTGAAATCCACGGGTATGGGGTAACTGACTATTATTTCATGTCTTAAGACTGTAAATACTATAAATTGAAAGGTTTGATTGCTTTATATATCTATGAGCCCTCTCTATATATACGTTTACTACCTGTATAGGGTCTCAATCTATATTCACCTGGCCGTCATTTTGTATTATAGCGGCTATATGCCGCCATTTTTTCATCAGATCTGTGGATATGGTTAATTAATAAGGACAAACATTAATGAGAAATATGAAACATTTTTTCTTTAGACCTCCCGGACTATTAGCTTATTTCATTACTGAAAGGTTATTTAGAGAACAAGATCTTTTTTTTTCATAACAAGTCATGGCTCGCGACACTTAGGTGGAGGTCTAAATGTAAATTTAGACTAAAAAAGATCTAAATAAATAAAGTTAAACGGAAGTCAAACCTAAGGCCATTCTTATTGGTTCCAACTGCTTCCTTAGATCCATTTCCACCTTTCCTTCCTTGATTATTAATGACCAACCAATCTCCTTCACCTCCTCTGTAAAAAACTTAGGAATCACCATTGGTCAAAACCTATCCTGGAACCTCATTTCGCTCATATCTCCAGATGGTCAATTAGTACACTCAAATTATTCAATCGTTCTCCTCAGCATCTCCCACAACATATCCTCAAGCTCCTCGTTTCCTCATTGATTTTCCCCTACTTTGACTATGGCTGTGTGGTATACGGTGGCCTCTCGTTGGAGCTTGAGGACAGACTGAAGAGAATCATGAACTGTTTTTTTAAGATTCGTCTTCGGCACTTCGAGATGGTCTCATGTGTCCCACCTATATTCCCAGTCAAAGTGGCTCTTCCCCTCTTCCCGCCGCCTATACTTCCTTGGAAATTTCTTATACCAAACGATCAACTCCCAGAACCTTTTCTATATCTACTGTCTCCTTGAGCCTAAATCATCAGTCCACTCACTAAACACAAGATCCCGTGTTTCTGACCTCTATATCACCTCCCGTAGGACAAAAACCCATTAACATCCGTTACCTAATGGAATTCCTTGGCACATAACATCCGTCATGCCTCTTTCCTGTCATCTTTCTGTACCTTCTTACATCCCAATTTAAATTTTATTTTATCAATTGAATTTATAAGAATTAAATGGACCACTAGAATAGAGACCACTATTTAAGTTAGAATAAAAAATCAATAATTTATTTTTTCACCTAGTCTGATTATTATTTTTACCATTTATCTACTATTTTATTTTAATTTATTTTTATTTGGTGTGAATGTGTTCATATCTCACTTTAATTATTCCCACATGACAGATTATTATGTTTATAAATAAGTAAATACAAAAAAATAGTTTTTATTATTTTTTGTGGTTTACATACTATTATTTAAATTACTGTATATACTAGTAGAATCTTTATTAAGTTAGTTTTTGGCCAGACATGTATTTTCTTTTGTATTTGTTCAATATTGTTATTCTAAGGGGACTTAGTCCCGGAATAAAGTTCAATTTTCTATTCTATTTTATTCTAAATGTTTAGAATGGCCAAAAAGTTTTGAGCCTCCCGGCTTAGAATGATATTAATAAAAATATGAGGAGTTGGTCGGGGGAGAGGGTGCTGTCAAATAAATACTAAATTTTAAAAAAATAGTATTTTTAATTATTACGTCGGCGTTTCGACCCACCTTGTAGGTCTTCATCAGGACCAGGTCTTCAAACAATGGCATAATAATTAAAAACACTATTTTTTTAAAATTTAGTATTTATTTGACCGCACCCCCAACCAACTCCTCATATTAATAATAATAGTTAAACATTTACCTATTCAAGTAATCTCAAATGTTTGTTGGTATTTTGATTATATTCATTAATTTTATTTACATTTAACAGATTACTTGGTCATATAAGAACTTCAGGCGAAGATCTGGCCAACTCCATGTCAACCCTACTGTTCGGTACTAGACTGAGAAGGCTTCATACTCCATTGCTCGTCCAAGCCAAAAAGAAGAATCCAGAATTAATCATCAGAGGTCTTCAGGTAGGAATACAACTCAACTCTATACATATATATGTTTTGTTTGTCATGGCCGAATGAATTAAAGCCAAATAGTCTTTAATCAATTTCTGTTATTTCGTATTCACACATTACCCAAATCATGGCGGCAACAAGCTCTTAAAAGTTTAATTGAAATAAAATAAAATGAAAATATATTTTATTATTCTGGGACTGTTGTCCCTTTAGAACGAATTATAAGTACAGATTACATGTCTTTGTGGTCATAATTAAATTATATATTTACAATAGCAGTTAATTAAAAATAAGAATATAGAAAAAGAGAGAGAAAAGATCAAGAGAATTGTACATATATATAAGACACTAAAGTAACCTAAATGAATTAAAGTAGTAATCTCTTAGATATAATTTGTAATCAGGCGGATTGAGAAAGGAGTAGGTGTTTAAAGAGGAGAGGTTTGAAAGAGGAAACTGATTGCGCGTATCAAATACCAGCAGGGATGGAATTCCAGAAGGAGGCGGCTTGTATTGCAAAGGATTTGTCAAACGCAGCAGTTCGGTGAGGAGGGGAGGTAGAGGTCGGAAGTGCGAGATCTAGTAGGACGGGATTGGATGGAGTATTTAAAATGTAAGCTGTGAAAAATATAGGAGGAAAATATAGGTTTCACTTCGTGTGGTCTAAAGCACACATCTTAGTTTTTTTTTCTGATTGTCTGGAATGCACTTTAAGACAACTGATTGAATTTATATTACAGGATGAAATACGTGAAATAAAAGAACACATTGTTGCCGATAAACTGGTAAAGAGCGTGTTCATGCCAGACACCATATCCCAGGACCACATGGAATACATCTTGAGAGAGATCCAGGCTTATTGCCGTTCTGAATCGTTTCCACCAGCCATCCTCCTGGCCAAAGCCCACCCTCTCATCCTGATAATGGGCTTCAAGGAAGTCTATAACAGGTAAATGGTAACCTTTATTATATACTAGCTGATGTCCTCATCGTTGATGGGTATATAGTTAAAATTTGAGAATCTTTTCTTTGAGATGGATATTGTATTATGGGGAGATCCAAATTTAATTTCATAATATTGGGTGAAATTCAGGGACTTCAAATCAACCCGTTTCATGATATCTTTCCGATTCATACATTACAGACACCAAATTCACTTTTAAAAAATGTTTTGTCTGTCTCGATGTCCGCATTGTCCATCAATGGGAAAGGGAGGTCATTTTAATTTTGAGTAGGTTTTCTTCCGATTTTCGGCTAATAGGTTTGGTTAATCCAAAAAATGTATAAAGTTGTATACATTTTAGGCCAAAGTTCTTAATTACATCGTATGAATCCATCAATCGATTGAATTCAGCACCTTTGTACAGCGATGTTTTCGATCTTTCGGTTTCCAGTAGAACATCATTTAGAACTCTAGGAATCAGCAGAACTCTTGCAACATCATTTGTTTATTGTTTATACTGAATTGTTGAATTTCAAAACATAAATATTAAATATAGAATTAGGAGAGAGAAGCACATTTCGACAGAACGAAACAAGGAGGCAAAGGAAATATAGGGAACAAACTTTAGCAAGTGCAATTGTATATGATTTAGGGTACTTTGATTTCTCTTCTTAAGTTCTTAAGAAGAGGAGAGCAATAAAATATCTTGAGGAGGGGGTGGGGAAGATTCATGCGCCATGGCAACCCTGGATAGAATGTAAACTGACTTTAAATATGTTAATAAATTGAAAATTAAAAACACTGATAAAGGAAGGGGCTGAATTTTTCCATGAGGTTATGTCTATGCAAAGTTTATGTTAAGTAGTCTAAAAACGTAACCTTGAATGTTTAAGATGTTTTATTAACTCATACAATGTTTTCAGAGATATAAATGAGTGGAAGGAATTTGTCGAATCGAAGGAAAAAGGTAAAAATCTTTATGTTATAACTATTATATATTATAACTATAACTATAATATGCTATTAAAGTTCTGGCAATGACCACTTCTCCATTAATTCTTGAGCGTCTGCAGTTTTAGTGCACTTACTTAGTCTCCACTGATTAAAGGAAAAGAAAAATATCGGGATCTCTTGTAGTCCTTCTTTGCCACATGTGGGTTCCCTTGGCAGAATGTAATTGTAGATTGGCGTAAATGAATTCAAGTTGATTTCACCTATTTTCATTTAATTCAGTCTTGGTTATTTATTTATTTTATTAATATTTAATTTTTCAACCTATTTATTAATATTTATTATTTAAATATATTGTTTTACTTATTTCTATTACATGATTAAAGAAGTTTATTTAGTATTATGAGAGTAGGAGGTTGCAGGAGCTCAATACTGAAAAAAATACACCAGGGTGTAAATCTCTATTTTGTATTAGGAGTGTAGGAGGTTACAGAAGCTCAATACATATGTAATTAAACAGCTGTATAATCGGTGCTAATTATAGAGCTAATAGAAGAGTTCCTGTAATCTCCTACTCTCCTAATACTAAAATAAAATAAAATATATAAAGCATTAAAAACTTTTTTATATAATAGAGAGAGATTTTCAGTGGTTATACTAGCAACTTTATAATAATGATAAAGGCCTAGCGAATCCGAATGTTCAATGCTGATACTGTAGCATATTCTAAATTTGACATTTTTGGTATTTTAGTGAAATGTAAAGTAGTTCATATTTTCTATTACAATTTAATTTTCTAAATCATATGATTTTACAAAGAACATATGTTTTTATTAGTTAGTATGTAAACAAGTTGTTAGTTGAGTTAATAAATGAATTAAAACATTTGTTTTGATTTATGTGTTAAGAATATAATAGATACCACCAAACCCAATCCCGACAGCGCAATCCTCCCACCTTCGCTATGGTCGACCACTCGTACGCTTACCTTTCGGCACAACGCATATTAATCTTTTAGGGGAACTTTCATGACTCCTACTTTAGTCAGAATATTCTAGATAACACTTTATTTTCGAAAACCTTTGAAACTTCTGACTAACAATAAGTGCGACCCTCCATGCTTGCTAGAGGCTGTGATGTAGGATTAAGATAATATATCTTTAGTTCACTTAAAGTAAAATAATTTCCACCTATTAGGTTGGTAAATAACTCCTTTCGGTTTTTCTGTTGATTTTTTATGTCACTATGATACACTTCTCATCTGACGAATTAATTCCTCAGGTAGGTTTTTTATCCTGTCTGTATTATGGCAACAACTATATCTGTTCACTCCTATTGAAAATAGCTTAGTATTGTGTTTGCTATTTCACAGTGAATATGAAAGAAAATATCATTTATTATCGGAATATTTTGTTGTATTATTTCAAAAAGATAAGCGTGCTGCAGAAGCTCATAGAAAAAATTGCAGTGTTTATGGGGATGATGCCTTAACCGAACGCACCTGTCAAAATTGGTTTGCTAAATTTCATTCAGGAAATTTTGACATCAATGATGCTCAACGGTCTGGTCGCCCACATGAAATTGAAACGAGCAATGTTAAGGCCATTGTTGATCAAAATCCCACCCAATCAGTGCGAGAGATTGCTATGGCCCTAAATGTGTCGTACACAAGCGTAGAAAACCATTTCCACAAGCTCGGCTATGTTTCCAGGCTTAATGTTTGGATCACTCACGTGATTTTTTTTTTTTTTGAAGATCACAAAAAATGTTACAACTTCAATACGCCTTTAGCTTCCTACAAGAAATGTAGTAGGAATTGAGTGCCAGATAAACTACACAAAATGACATCAACAGGACATTCGTAAACAAACTAACTATGGAGGAGTTTTTGTTCATTTACTCCTTATGTAGGCATTAAATCAAAACACCTTTCTTACGGATTTGAAGAACAATAATTCTGCTCTCCAACGGATATAGTAACATTGAATTTGGAGAACATCCTGAAGAGTTATGAATGATCGGAAGAGAGTTGTGTTCCACCAAGACAACGACCCTCTTTATTCACCAGACCTAGCTCCAAGTGCCTACCACTTATTTCGGTATTTGGAGAACTACATGAATGAAAAGAAATAACAAAAGGAAGAGGACATCAAAAACCAGTTGGATCAGTTTTTTAACAATAAACTCCAGACATTCTATGAACATGGCATTATGCAGTTAGTGGAAAGATGGGAAAACGTCATATTAAATAGTATTCAATATGAATGAATGAATGAATGAAACCAACACAAAACGTGTTTATTAAACTTTTTAAAAAATTACTCAAAGTAAAATATATATATGGAAAGATGGGAAAACGTCATATTAAATAATATTCAATATGAATGAATGAATGAATGAAACCAACACAAAACGTGTTTATTAAACTTTTTAAAAAATTACTCAAAGTAAAATATATATATATATATATATACAAGCAACAACACATAGACAATGGAAAATTCCATCTGTCGAGGTCTGTGTGTAATTAATAATAGATATTCATCACATTTATAACTAAAATAAATCAGCAATAATATATCTACAGTATTATTATGGTTTTATACATCCATTCTAGCAATTTTATTTTTCACTGTCTCATCTGTTTAAATAGAGTTTTCGAAAAAACAAACATTAATACATCACAAATCCAATAAATAAGAAATTTAAATTCAACAATAATAATAATCATCAAATACAATATAACAATAAAACAAACATCACAATAAATAAACACGATATTGTATCAATAGTATACTATCTGACTAATTGAGATCTTTGCAATGTGGCCTGCTGTACATAATTGCTTAAGGCTTTCCAATTAGAACCCTTTAAGAAACCAAATAATTCTTCCAGAGAACAGGTCCGCTGCCCAAAATATTTCTCTGTTATCTCACTGTACATGTGAAAAGTCCCCAAAAAGTGAATGATATCCTCTTTTTCTTGAGAGTTACATACCGGACAGCAATCGTTGTCCTCCACCATCCATGGTTTTACGTTTAAATCGAGCAATTCTGTCCTATATCGAAAAATTGACCCTATAGTCACAATATCAAAACTATCATTAAGATAGGGTGTAACAGTGCCCACTGAACATAGTCCTACGTAAACAGAAGACATTTTTCTAGATTATTACTTTCACTTACGTATATATGTAATATATAGTAAGTGTAAGTATTGCGATCGAGAAAATTTTTGAATCTGAGTTTTCGACGGATTTATACGTTTTTGAGGTACCCTGAGTCGAAATGACCAAGTCCCGACAAATGGTCTGTGTGTGTCTGTGTGTTTGTATGTTAGCAGTCTAGCTCAAAAACGAAAAGTCCTATGAAACTGATATTACCTATTTAAGATAGGTATATGCCTTAGTTGTGACGGCAACTTTTTCCTTAAAATCGGCTAACCGGAAGTTCCAGTTTATATCAACGCTGAAACACATTTTCACAGTTTTCTCAAAACCGGCTCTAACGATTTTGATTAAACTCGGTGTATCATTGTATAATTAAGTGGTCTTTAATATAAATTAGGTGTTATCCCCATTGATGTCACTTTACAGGGCTTAAATGCCCAATGTTCATATACGTCTTCCTCTAAAGTACCTTTAATATGGTTTATTTTAAAAAGATAATTATTTCGCATTATTCAGAGTTACGAAAAAATGCTAAATATAACTTTTGAAAGAATTTGATAAGTTAATAAAGGAGAAATAAAAATGGAGAAAAACGTAGCTATAGACTGTAGCGCCTAAACGAATGTACCGATTTCATTGAAACTTCGCTAAAGTCATTTTCTCGACACCCTTCAAATTTATCTGTATAACATTCATCAGAGAAAAGAAGCTGAAAAAAAGTTACGAGGGATGGTAAAATTAAATTCCGAATAACTCAAAAAGTATACATTTTTTTGGGAATGTTGTGATAAGATGTTTCAAAGGTATTTAAATTGCCTAAAAAACAAAAGAAGTTTCATCGAAATCGAAGCACTATTAGTAGAGATATCGCGATTTTTAAATATTTTTTTGTTTTTCTAGTCCTATACCTTATGTCTAACAACAGTCAATTTTCCGCGCAGATCAGCGATATTTGCAGTATTGAGATTAGTTTTACAACTATCCTCGAATTCTAACCACTTTTGGTACCAATAAATTCTCTTAGATATCACCTCTTTCGCTAGGATATGTGGCAAACGAAAACTCGGCATCTCAGCACTTTTAAAATATAGTCGAAATGAAATTGATGTCATTTTTTACTTTCAATTACGTATATATATATAATATATAGTAAGGGTAAGTATTGCGATCGTGAAAATTTTCGAATCTCAGTTTTCAACGGAAATACATGTTTTGAGGTCCCCTGAGTTCAAATAACCAAGTGTCGCAAAATGGTCTGTGTGTGTTAACAGTCTAGCTCATAAACGAAAAGTCGTACGAAACTGATATTAAGTATTTAAGGTTTGTATATGGGCCGGATGTGGCAGCAACTTTTTCGTTAAAATCGGCTAACCGGAAGTGCCACTTTATATGAACGCTGAAACACATTTTTACAATTTTCTCAAAAACGACTCTAACGAATTTGATCAAACTCGGTGTATTATTGTATAATTAAGTGGTCTTTAATATCAATTAGGTCTTATCCCCGTTGATGTCACTTTACAGGGCTTAAATGCCCAATGTTCATATATGTCTTCCTCTAAAGTACCTTTAATATGGTTTATTTTAAAAAGTTAAACATTTCGCATTATGCAGAATTACAAAAAAATTCTACATATAACTTTTGAAAGAATTCAATAAATTAATAAAGGAGAAAAAAAATGCAGAAAAATCTGCGTTCCTACAGACTGTAGCGCCTAAACGAATGTACCGATTTCAATGAAACTTCGCTAAAGTAATTTTCTCGATACCCTTTAAATTTATCTATATAACATACTTCAACGTAAAGAAGCTGGAAAAAAAGTTACGAGGGATGTTAAAATTAAATTCCGAATAACTCAAAAAGTATTATATGGTTTTATACAAGTTTACGGAATTTACTAAAAAAACAAAAAAAAAATGGTTAAAATCGGACAATTAGGAAGAAAGATATGGTCTCTAGTTTTTCCCTGAAGAGGTGAAAATTCGGATAAATTTAAAATATACTTTTTTAATTGTTGAGACTAAAAAAACCTTTTTTCTACAGATATTTAAGTATCTTTCCTAAGAACATCTTTCATAAGAAATAAGTACCTAAATTTATACCTTTATTCTCAGTTCTATATTTCAATACTGCAATCACCACCTCCGGAATCAACTTACTCACTGTCTGCATAGATCACTTTTTCAACTAAAAATATCACTAAAATGACATTATTAAAAAATGGTGAAATTGGAGTTAGTCATTCTGTGGCTTTATAAAAGCAAAGAAAGTTGTTTTGTTTATAAAAGCAGATGGAGTGAATAGATATTTATTGCCTGTCGTCGATATATTAAATAGACATTTTGTAATTATAATGGTCTTAATGACTTGTTATCTGTAAGCTTTAAGCTTTAGCTCCGTTTGAAATGGACTTCAAAAAATTGTATAATAGCCCAGCATAGCCAGAAAATAATTTCTATTCAAAGTAGATTGGTAAGTGGAAGTTGTGTGTTGCGCGCACCAGATTTTATATATACATATATATATATATATATATATATATATATATATATATATTTTTTTTTTTTTTAATATTCAATATATTATTCGGACCGAAGAAGGATGAGTTAACCGGAGAGTTCAAACGGTTACACAACGCCGAATTGCGTGAAATGTATCCGGGTAATATAATTGAGGTAATTTCATCGCGGCGAATCAAATGGGCTTGTAAAGTTGTTGGGCTTAGTAACGAGAGAATTCCTAAAAGGTTAATATTTGCTGTGCCGAATGGTAAGCGTCCGAGGGGAAGACCGAAGCGAAGGTGGGAAGATTGCATTAAAGCCGATCTGAAGGGACTGGGTTTGGACGGCGAACGGTGGAGGGAGGTGTGTAACAAGCGATTGGTGGTGTCGGCATCGAACCTTCGGGTTCGCTAAGCCTTATTATTATTATTATTATTATTATTATTATTAATATTAAATATATTGCAGATTAAAATGAATTTTATGTCCTAATACATTGAGTTTTATTTAACCCTGAAAAACCGAAAGGACTTATTCGCCAACCCATTAGTTTATAATATATTCTTTTTTGTAGATCCAGAAAAGAGAAACAAAAGACCCTCTTCCTCGACAAGTGTCCAGAGGAAGGCGAGCCGTCCTTCGATTCAGGCAACATCAGCTGGGAGGATTCAACCGAGCCAAGCTCCTAGCGGGAAGTCACCTCCCGAAGATGAGAGTGGCACAGTAGAAGACATCTATGCACGAACGTTCAGCGAATACCTGTCCAAATATACAGCAGTCAAGTTGAAAATTAAACTTTATGAATTAGACATTGAAGACAGCGTCAAGTGAGCAATCCTACTATTCATAATTTATTGAAGAGAAGTTGGTTTAGGTGCTCAGTAAAAAAAGAACGCATATATTGGCAATGTTCTCCACTCAAGCCATATTTATCTAGTTATAGCGCCTCTGCTCAGTCTCCACTGGTCCTTAATACCAGTAATATGGCTGAGTGAGAGGGGCTGGGATCTCCTAGAGTCCTGCCTTTCCTTCCTCGAGTGGGATGAAAGGCTTGGACTGGAGATCTTCAATGAATGAAACTTTTTTATTTATTTTTTTTTAGATATTGTATAGAAGTATGTGTGTATTTGTGAAGTTATTTTGATTTGTTTAGTTCATATACATTTGCTTTTAGAATTATTATTTTTCTATATTGTTGAGTGTGAATATGTTTTCTGAACACTATTATAAATATCCTCAATTTTGACAGATTTTAATATCTCTCAATAAATATGAAAAAAAAGTATGTATATCTGGTTATAGTGCCTCTGCTCAGTCTCCACTGGTCCTTAATACCAGTAATATGGCTGAGTGAGAGGGGCTGGGATCTCCTAGAGTCCTGCCTTTCCTTCCTCGAGTGGGATGAAAGGCTTGGACTGGAGATCTTCAATGAATGAAACTTTTTTATTTATTTTTTTTTAGATATTGTATAGAAGTATGTGTGTATTTGTGAAGTTATTTTGATTTGTTTAGTTCATATACATTTGCTTTTAGAATTATTATTTTTCTATATTGTTGAGTGTGAATATGTTTTCTGAACACTATTATAAATATCCTCAATTTTGACAGATTTTAATATCTCTCAATAAATATGAAAAAAAAGTATGTATATCTGGTTATAGTGCCTCTGCTCAGTCTCCACTGGTCCTTAATACCAGTAATATGGCTGAGTGAGAAGGGCTGGGATCTCCTAGAGTCCTGCCTTTCCTTCCATGAGTGGGGAGACAGCCTTGGACTGGAGATCTTGAATGAATGAAACTTTTTTATTTATTTTTTTTTTAGATATTGTATAGAAGTATGTGTGTATTTGTGAAGTTATTTTGATTTGTTTAGTTCATATACATTTGCTTTTAGAATTATTATTTTTCTATATTGTTGAGTGTGAATATGTTTTCTGAACACTATTATAAATATCCTCAATTTTGACAGATTTTAATATCTCTCAATAAATATGAAAAAAAAGTATGTATATCTGGTTATAGTGCCTCTGCTCAGTCTCCACTGGTCCTTAATACCAGTAATATGGCTGAGTGAGAAGGGCTGGGATCTCCTAGAGTCCTGCCTTTCCTTCCATGAGTGGGGAGACAGCCTTGGACTGGAGATCTTGAATGAATGAAACTTTTTTATTTATTTTTTTTTTTTAGATATTGTATAGAAGTATGTGTGTATTTGTGAAGTTATTTTGATTGGTTTAGTTTCTTTTTCTTTGTTTAGTTTATATACATTTACTTTTAGAATTGTTATTTTTCTGTATTGTTGGTAGAGTGTGAATATATTTTCTGAACACTATTATAAATATCCTCAATTGTGACAGATTTTAATATCTCTGAATAAATATGAAAAAAAGTATGTATATCTGGTTATAGTGCCTCTGCTCAGTCTCCATTGGTCCTTAATACCAGTAATATGGCTGAGTGAGAAGGGCTGGGATCTCCTAGAGTCCTGCCTTTCCTTCCACGAGTGGGGAGAAAGGCTTGGACTGGAGATCTTGAATGAATGAAACTTTTTTATTTATTTTTTTTAGATATTGTATTGAAGTATGTGTGAAGTTATTTTGATTGGTTTAGTTTCTTTTTCTTTGTTTAGTTTATATACATTTACTTTTAGAATTATTATTTTTCTGTATTGTTGGTAGAGTGTGAATATGTTTTCTGAACAATATTATAAATATACTTAATTGTGACAGATTTTAATATCTCTCAATAAATATGAAAAAAAAGTATGTATATCTGGTTATAGCGCCTCTGCTCAGTCTCCACTGGTCCTTAATACCAGTAATATGGCTGAGTGAGAGGGGCTGGGATCTCCTAGAGTCCTGCCTTTCCTTCCTCGTGTGAGGTTAATGCTCGCAGTTTCTTTGAATGAATGATTTTTTAAAATATTGTGTAAAAGTATATTTGTCTTTAAATTGTTATTTTGATTTTTTTGTTTTTTTATTATATATATTTAGTTTGAGTTATATTATTTTGCTGCTTCATTTATTCTTATTTATTGTACATGGAGTGTGAATGTGCTCACTGAACAATGTTATAAATGTCCTTAATTGGGAATGATTGTAATATTTCTTACTAAAAAAGTTCTAAAAAAAATTATAGTTTTAATTGAGCTTTGGGTCTCTACAAAAACATCAACTTCTTCCCGTATCCAATCCTTACAGTCCAAAATCCTCCGTAAAATCCTAAATGCTCCTTATTTATGTAACAAATAAAATTATCCATAAAGACCTCAACATTCCTCTTGAGGGAAGACTTGGCCCGAACTAGATATACCTCTTTTAATTCCTAACTCTTTGGTCACCCCAATCCTCTAGTTCGTAACCTTTCATCCAATACAATTCCTGACAACCCTCTGAGGCGTCTAAAAAGAAGATGGCCAAGGGACCTCCTAAATTAATTCATCATTGAAGTGTTACCAATGGGTAGCTTTTAAATTATTTATTGATAATATAATGCTTATATGAATGATGGAACGTTGATTTAATTATTATAGAATAATATTTTGAATTTATTTCAGGGCCAAATGTGAATTGCAGTCAAAATTAACTGACTTAAAGCATAAAATCGATTTATTGCGCATCGAATTGAAGAAAGAAGAATGGAATACTTTCAATAAAAAATTACAAGCGAATATATTCACTAAGGAAGGTAAGGAAACAAACAAGTCTTCCGAGCAGGAGAAATTAGAAATGGAAATAGACGAAGAAGTTGAGCAGTTCAACCAGGCAAGAATTGCTCTTTGCAATGCTCATAATAAATACATGGCTGCTAGTTTGTCATTGAGCGAACTTAAGGCGAACGTCGAAAAGGATTTCAATGTAATTTTTACTTGATTAATTTTTACTTTTTCACTTTCCTATATATGTAATATATATATATAGAATAGAATAGAATAGAAAATTAAACTTTATTCTGGGACTAAGTCCCTTTAGAATAACAATGATGAGTTAATACAAAGTAAAGTACAAATCTGGCCAAAAACTAACTTATAAAAATTTTAATATTATATACATTATTTAAAAAGTATGTAACCAGTAAAAAATAAAATATATATACAAATGAACATAAAATCTTCTCAAAATTACTTAATTGAATTTTTTTTTTTTTTTTTAAAAAGAAGAGAAATTACATATTTATATATACATAACTACACAATTTATAAGCAATAGGCTATCTAATAGAAAACTAACTTAATACAAAATGTAATAATATCTACAGTGGATTATATAATAATATGCAGACACTAAGATAAAATAAAATCTTAGAATACTTGTGGTGTAATGGAAAAAAAAAATAAATAAAAGGAACTATTTATACGTACATTCTCATATTGGCACACATAAAGACAAAAATATAAATATATATACCCGAAAGAAAAATCAAAACCTGAGGAGAAGAGAAAAATAAGTAAATAGTAAAAATAATAGTCAAACTAGGTGACAAAGATCATTGCTGTTTTATGTTAAAACTTAAACAGCACTATTTACTTCACACAAATTCAGTTCATAAAATGAAATTTATGGTGGTAAATCTTCTGTTTGGGATGTAAGGAGATATTGGAAAAGGAGGTATTTGAAAGTTGACAGGGAAGAGGCATGGCGGATGTTATGTGGCAAAGAATTCTAATAGGAGACGGAGCGGGCTAAGAAGGAACGTTCATAGGTTTTTGTCCTGGGGAATGGAATATAGAGGTCAGAAACACGGGATCTCGTTTTTATCGAGTGGGCTAAAGGTTTAGGCTGGAGGAGACAACAGATATCGGAAGGGTGCTGGGAGTTTATCGTTTGGTATAAGAAATTTCCAAGGAAGTATAGGCGGCGGGAAGAGGGGAAGAGCCACTTTGACTCGGCATATAGGTGGGACACATGAGACCATCTCGAAGTGCCGAAGACGAATCTATATATATATATATATATCTATATATATATATCTATATATATATAGTATTACTTTCACTTACCTTTATATGTAACTAGCTGATGCACCCGTCGTTGACGGCTATATAGTTAAAATTTTAGAATCTTTTTTTAAGATGGATTTTGTATTATTTGAGGAGTTTGAATTTTTGGCTAATCCGTTAATCCCAAAAATATATACGACAACATTTGTGAGGCTCGGGAAGTTGAAAATGAGTATGTTTAACCGTGTTTTAAGTGATTACGCGTTACAGATGTTCGGTATTCCGTATTTTTCCTGTTGAGTTGTGATATTTTTTTCCATCAGTTGAATAGTACAACTTTTAAATATGGCCTGCGGTAGAGTAGGTTGGGATGGGAATCGAAGTAAGTAATTGCCTAACCGGGATCTCTAGACAAATTACTCAAGAATTCATAGCTTTGGTTCTAATCAATATTTTGTTTTCATTTAAAGCATATATTTTGAGTCAAGCAAACCTAAATGTAATATCAAAATTTCTTTTACAGAAAATATTTTTTCAAGACAAAAATTTTTTTAAAAGTTGATTTGGTGTCTGTAATGTATAAAACGGAAAGATATCATGAACCGCGTTGATTCTATTCAATGTACAGACAAAACCTTTATTTTATTTATATAGATGTTCTTTAACCTATAAACATATGTTTATTATCAACATTAACCGAGATATTTACACAAATTACTTAATAATTCATAACTTCGGTTCTACTCAATATTTTGTTTTGATTTAAAGCCTATGTTTTAAGTCAAGCAAACCTTAATATAATGTCAATTTTTCAAAATTGTACAATAAGCCATTGCTGAGCTTACCCCTGACAAAATTTCGTTTCGATCCGGACATACAGACAAACAAATTTTTAAAAGTGGTTTTGGTGTCTGCAATAGATGAAACGAAAATATATCATAAAACGGGTTGATTCTATTCAATGTACAGACAAAATGTTTATTTTACTTATATAGATATATAGTACGAGTCTTCTACGTCCAAATAATTAAGCCCTACAAAATGGTCTGTATTTATGTGTGTCTATGTGTGCATATGTATGTTAACAGCCTAGATCAAAAATGATAAGTCGTACGAAACTGAAATTGCGTGTTTAAGATTTTTATATGAATGGGATGTTACAGCAACTTTTTCGTCAAAATCGACAAATTGGAAGTAGTACTTTATATCATCGATTTAACACATGTTTACCATTTTGATTAAATTCATTATCTTCTATATATATAAAAATGAATGTATGTCTATCTGTCCGTCTATTTGTCCTTAGTGCATTACTAAACCATTCGTCCGATCGCCATGAAACTTTGGGAAGTTGTTCCGTACACTCCTGGGAAGGTTTCTGGCATAATACTTCTGTCTTACGATAATTTTATATATTGAAAAAAAAAAAATGTAAATGTTTTTCTGTTCAAAGCCGCTAAAAATGTGTCGCTATACACTGTAGCGCCAAAACGGCTTTACCGATTTTAACGAAACTTGGCTAAAGTCTTCCCCTTGAAACCCTTTTAATTTATGTGTATAACATACTTTCCCGAAAACAAGCTGAAAAATGTTACGATGAATTCAATATTTTATTTGACGATAACTAAAAAAGTACACAACTTTTGACTTGATAATACCCCCATTTATTTCAAAGATTTCTGAATTGCTGACAAAATAAAAAAAAAATCATCGAAATCGGACGGTTCGTTGCTGAGTTATTGAGTTTTAAACATTTACTGGTTTCTCTTCAGAAAAGGCCGTTTCCTTTTGCTTCTTCATTACCGAATGCCGGCAAGCATTTTTTTTTTTTTTTTATTGAGTAATCGAAAATTTTATAATTACTACAGTAATTGAAATTATCATTTGAAGAATTTATATGATTCTCCTTATGTAGGTCAATACTATTATACGTTTTTTTTAATTAATTTTTTTATTTAGTTTTATAAGTTCAACTCAGACTGTTTCTGATGATTATGAATGAGGGCGTATTTACTCAGATGATTATGAATGGTCAATTTGAATCATGAGAAAAAAAACCATTAGAATTAGTTTAAATTGAAGCCATTTTACAGACAAATTTGTTTTCCAACTTTTTACTAATGACAGATGTCCTTTGCTACTAATCTATTCATATGTGCTTTCTATTTTCTTTCTTTTTCATTTTGCCAGGCTAAGCCACAGCAGCGCGTGGCCGGGTAAAGCTAATATATATATAAAATTAAGCTGTTTTAAAAATAATATAGGTTTTATTTTCATTGATGTTCTCTAACAGGGATTAAATGACTAATTTTCAATATTTCTCCTTCTAAAGTACCTTTGATTTTTTTTTTATTTGCAATAATTAACCAGTTCATAATTATCTCGTGTTTGTCATTAATTTTTCCATTTTTCTTAACAAATTGATTATTTTCGCAATACTTTTCCTAAATTTTTGTATTTAGCTGACTTATATTTTTCTAACTTTGGTCTAAATGATTTTCAGGCACTAGGAAGTAATTATTATATCTCAATTTTTCTCTTGATGCCCAATATTATAAATGAAAATGTCCAAATAAGCATATCTATGCTGTTTCTTTGTTTACAACTGAGCTAAATTTGCTTCAGCCATGATAAGTAATGATCAGTAATGATTGAACGTGTAAGTTTCTTCATGATCTTAGCCATTCTTGTGACTTTCATTCATGAATTACCGTGTAGGGTTCACTTAGGCAGCGTGCTCTGAGTGCCATTGAAACCGTATGTGTCGTTCTAACATTTGATTCTATTTTACAGGAATATGTCAAGTTGATGTGCTGCAACACTCTACTCCTTCCCAAAGCAGAAACATCAGTTTGTGATAAACAACCATTGGTGATTGAAACACCTTTATTGCAAGACGTAAAGATAGATCGCTCAATAGAAGCAGAAAGGTGTTTTAATAAACTGCAGCGAATACCTATAAAGAAACGCGTATAGGTTCAATAACAGCTGTGAACAATAATATATAGCAATGCTACTAGAATCTTAAATTAAACAATTTCTCTTGTTAATACATTGTTTTTATATTTAAATTGTTTACTGAATATTAATTATTATATTCTTAACATATAAATCAAAATAAATGTTTTAATTCATTTATTAACTCAACCAACAACTTGTTTACATACTTACTAAATAAAATCATATGTTCTTTTTAAAATCATATGATTTAGACAATTAAATTGCAACAGAAAATATGAACTAATTTACACTTCACTAAAACATCTAAAATATCAAATTTAGAATATGCTACATGAATCATATTTTCTTTTTTTATGAAACAATGAGCGAACAATACACTTATTTATTAGGATTAATTATATCATAAAATACTACTAACTGTATGCAAAATAACTCAAGAAAAGGTTATGATGGGTTACAACCAAGTTATATTTCTAAAGCAGGGGCGGATCTACGGGAGGAGGGTCTTTGGGGCTGAAGCCCTCCCCCCCCCCCCCCCCAAAATGGTAAAATATAACCATGTTTTATAGAAAGAAATATTAAATATTTAATAGTTGACCGTTGCATTATAAAGGAAGGAGATGGTCCGGGGTTGCGGTCAAAAAAAGGCTAAATAGTGGTAAAACTATTTTATTCACATTTTCATTTGTTATATATTACACTACAACAATTGTTAGCATCTATTTACTTTATTTTAGGATCTTGTTACTCAGCTTACTTAGTCCATATTTTATTGTACTTACTGTTTATAATTCTAATAAGCTTATTCACATTGTTTATAAATTATGTCTAAATATTATGTAATTGTCACAATTCTCTATCTTTTTGTATCTTGTCCGTTCTAGCCCTGATGAAGAACTGCAAAGTCGGCTTTCAATAAAATAGTTTTACCACTATTTAGCCTTTTTATGACCGCAACCCCGGACCATCTCCTTCCTTTAAAAAAAATATTAAAAAATTATCTCTTAAAGTATTATTGTTCGTATAATTACATTTAAAAGGACTTTAGGAATCACTTAAACACAATTTCATTTAGATGATTAGTTTCTTTCTATTTTTCCAAAGTAATTATTGTAATTTTTATGAAAAAAAAAAGCTTTCGGGCTGAAGTCCCCCCCCCAAAAAAAATTAAATCCTGGATCCGCTAGTGTTCCAAAGTATAAGGCCAGAAACTATTTTTCTTTCTTACTACGAAGATAAAGATATATATTCATTTAAGGAAGTGAAAAAAAATTAGTGTTAGTAGGTAGTAGTATCCATCTTCATAATTCCATCCACTACATTTGCTTACGCATGCGTAAACATATTGTCATTGACACAACTATACTTATATCAAGATCTCGTGTTTCCAACCTTTATACCCCTTCCCATAGAACTAAAACATATAAACATTCCTTTATTGGTCGATCCACTGCCTATTGAAATTCCTTGCCATCTGATATCGCCATGTCTTCACCTTGTCCTCATTAAGGAGTTAATTTGTTAAATTGTATGAACTTTTTGACAATCCTATATATTATTTCTAAAAGGTGTTTTTTTTTTTTTTGTCGGTATACCATAACTTCGTCAATTCTTCATAAAATCAATTGATTGACCACTCATTTCAAAAAGATATTCTTCTCCTTTACATGAGAAAAATAGTCTCATTCCTCCGAAATTCCTGGGGAAAAAGTTATGAAAGAAAAGAAACTTTATTTGCGAATAACTCAAAAAGTGTTTTTTCTGCACCCATGATAATTAGAAAGATTATTAAATTACCTACAAAACAAAAAAAATATCGTTAAAAACGGACAATTATTAACAAAGATACAGTCCATTAGGTTTCGTATACTTAATAATGTCTTCCTGTTTAAAGATATTGTATTTAGGAGTAGAATAGTCTACTAATTTTTTTTTCGGGCTTTTATATCAACTTTATTATTTCATAAAGACATTTGTTTATTCTTATATTTTATTTTATTTTTTTTAATGTTTTAGAATATCCTATGATCGGGGCATTATTTTGTCTTTATTACTTTTATTATCTTTCCAGTCAGCGTTTAAAAATAGGTCCTAGCAAAGCAATATGTACAAATATTTTGGTCTATTATGTTTAATGGAATATTGTAATCGACTAAGTAAAAAATATTAATTCCTTCCTTACATAATTAATAGGAACTACTTATTTCCAGATTGTTTTGCTATTTCTTCACTAAACAAAATTTTCTGCGAATTTTTCCCAAGGACCAACTAGTAAATCATTATTTGTTTCAGGTACTTAAATATAAAATTTATCTATATTACATATTAAATATTTGTAATTTTTTTTAAAAAAACACTGCGTCCTGAATATTTATCACCCATGATATGTAGAACAGTCGATTAACTTCCTTTCATAATAATAATAATAATAATACCTTCAGCTTTGAATCAGCAAAAGCGGAAATAAAGAAAAAAATAATAATATTATATATATTCAATAGCTTTAAGTATTTAGCAAAAATTATATATCAATAATAAAAATAATTAAAAATGAAACTTTTCCCTCAAAGAAACAGAGGTCTCCTCGTTTTTTTTTTTACTTTCATCTCTTGTTTCAAAGTTCTTCCCGTTTTGTTTTATTTTCGTCCAGAGAAAATTTCAAACAATCAAAACTTATTTTTCTCTGGGACGGTTTCTACAGGCTGTACTTCGATGTGTCACCTGATAACACTAGTGGATCCAGGATTTAATTTGGGGGGAGGGGGCTTCAGCCTGAAAGATTTTTTTTCATAAACATATAATAATAATTAATTCGAAAAAAAAGGAAGAAATTAACTACCTATATGACTTGGTGTTTAAGTGGTTCTTGAAGTCCTATTAAATTTAATTACACGAACAAGAATACGTTAAGAGATAGTTTTTAATATTTTGTTCTATAAAACATGGTTATATTTTACCATTTTGGGGGGGGGAGGGGGAGGCTTCAGTCCAAAAGCCTCCCTCCCCGTAGAACCGCCTGTGCCTGATAATAGTACTGTAGATTAGATGCTTTTCTTGGTCTTTCCATTAGCATAATCAAGGGTGCCCACAATATATATTTTCACAAAATTTTCGAGGGGAGCATGTTTTGACATAGTTTTGATTTTTTTAGGGGACACATTTCGAAGGGATAATGAATTTTCGGAGTGAGAAGTTTCAAACCAGGGATCGAGGGAAAACGAACTAGATCACAGCAAGTGTATTTGTATATGATTTACTATTTTTCTAATTTTATTTTGGTATGTACTGTTTTGAAGAAGATTGTGTAATAAAATTTCTTGGAAGGGAGGTTTAATTCTTGCACCATCGACCATGGGGGAGAGGGAATGTCCACCCTGGGTGTAATGATGATTCATGAACTCAAGTGTGAAATAATGGGCCACTTTTTTGATGAGGTAACCTCTTTGGTTAACACTCATCAATAGTAACGTTCTAAGAAATTGGAAACATATTTCGGCTTGTAACGAAACACTTTTTTTTTTTTTTTTTTTATTATTTTAATGGAATTTACAACTGGATTACATAGTGAATACAACAAGTAAATGAGAAATTGGTAACATGGCATGTAGAACATGAAGAGAAACTACCCATTGGTAGAACTCAAATTAAAGTTCTATATTAGAAGATCCCGAGGCCATCTTCTTTTCAGACGCCTCGGAGGGTTATCAGGGATCGAGGAGGAAGCAAGGTTTGAAACGAGAGGATTCGGATGGTTCTGCAGTTTGTTATGGAAAGATAGGTATCTGGATTGGACCAAATCGGAAACATATGGAACATTAAGATCTTTATGGATGATTTTATTAGTGACAAAATAAGGAGCGTTGAGGATTTTACGAAGGATTTTGGATTGTAAGGATTGGATACGAGAGGAATTCGATGGTTTAGTGGAGCCCCAAAGCTCAATTCCGTAAGTCCAAATAGGTCTTATTATTGTCATATATACGAGTCGTTTATAATTGATTGAAAGCTTAGATCGTTTATCTAGTAAGTGCTGCAGTAGTCGAAAACGTCGTTTCAGTCTAGTATGGGGGTTCCAAGTGAGTCGTTTGTCAAGGTGGAGTCTTAAGTAGCGGATTTGCTCAGCATATCCATCAGGAATAAGTGGAGTATTATTGAAGGATACTGTAGGGCAAGAAGTCATAGGTTTACGACGGAGGGTAAAGGTGATTTGATGGAATTTGTTGGAATTTATTTTTATTCTCCAATTTAACGAAACACAAAATGGCAATTCTATGCCAGCTTAATAAGACAAATATTCCCACAAATCCCGTTCAAATCCAGCTAACACTTTTGGAACAGTCTAGCACTAGCGGATCCAGGATTTAATTTTGGGGGGGCTTCAGCCCGAAAGCTTTTTACTTTTACTTACGATTATATGTAATATATAGTAAGGGTAAGTATTGCGATCGTGAAAATTTTCGAATCTCAGTTTTCAACGGAAATACATGTTTTGAGGTCCTCTGAGTTCAAATAACCAAGTGTCGCAAAATGATCTGTGTGTGGGTGTTTTAACAGTCTAGCTCATAAACGAAAAGTAGTACGAAACTGATATTAAGTATTTAAGGTTTGTATATGGGCCGGATGTGACAGCAACTTTTTCGTTAAAATCGGCTAACAGGAAGTGCCACTTTATATGAACGCTGGAACACATTTTTACAATTTTCCCAAAAACAGCATTAACGATTTTGATCAAACTCGGTTTATTATTATATAATTATAAAAAAAAAGTTACGAGGGATGTTAAAATTAAATTCCGAATGACTCAAAAAGTATACACTTTTTTGGGGATATTGTACATGTTTTTTAAAAGTTTGTGGAATTTCCTTAAAAAAAAAACAAAAAAAAAAATCGTTAAAATCGGACTATTAGGAGGAAAGATATGGTATCTAGTTTAAGAGGCGAAAATTTGGATAAATTTAAAATATATTTTTTTAATTGTTGAGACAAAAAAAAACTCTTTTCTACAGATATTTAATTGAGAGTCTTTCCTAAGAACATCTTTCATAAGAAATAAGTACCTAAATTTATACTTTTATTCTCAGTTCTATATTTCAACACTGCAATCACCACCTCCGGAATCAACATACTCATTGTCTGCATAGATAACCTTTTCAACGAAAAATATCACTAAAATGACATCACTTAAAAATGTTGAAATTGGATTTAGTCATTCTGAAGTTTATAAAAGCAATGAAAATTGTGTGGTTTATAAAAGCAGATGGAGTGACTAGATTTTTATCGCCTGTCGTCGATATATTAAATAGAGATTTTGTAATTATAATGGTCTTAATGACTTGTTATCTGTAAGCTTTAAGCTTTAGCTCCGTTTAAAATGCACTTCAAAAAATTTTATAATAGTCCAGCATTACCAGAAAATAATTTCTTTTCAAAGTAGATCGGTAAGTGAAAGTTGTATGTTCTGCGCACCAGATTTTTTTTCATAAAAATAACGATAATTACTTTGGAAAAAAAGAAAAAAACCAACTGTCTATATGGAATGGTGTTTAAGTGATTCCTAAAGTCCTTTTTAAATGTAATTACACGAACAATAATGTTTTAAGAGATAATTGTTTAATTTTTTTTTCCATAAAACATCGTTATATTTTACCATTTTGGGTGGAGGGGGAAGCTTCAGTCCAAAGCTTCCTTCGTAGATCGCTCGTGCGTTTCAAGACAGTAACAAAATTCCATTGCTTAAATAATTTTAATGGTATATCTTCCATTACCTTTTCTGAAAAGTTCTCTTAAAAAAATGTAACCTTAATCCTTAAATGAATTTATTTACTCATAGAGAATTGATTAAACATGTTTAAAGCAGGCTAGGGTCAGGAAAAATAGTTGTCTTCATGTAAGTGTAAATTTATTTCTATATGGTTATATATTTTTAATGCTAAGCTTGAATATTAGATTTTTCCTATCAAGCACCAGTTAGTTACCACGACTTTTCTTTTATTTCTGGAATTTATAGTCATCTCCAAAATAAAATAGACAAAGTAAAAATTAAATTGAAACCATTACTTTTAAATTGAAATTATAAAACATGGACCATATTATGTAAGCAGCAATGGCGGTAAATTCAAAATTACCGGTTATCTTTTCAATCCTCAATCCTTATGCTAAAATTAGCTTTTCTCTTGAAATGCTTCCACTACAAAACTTCTTCGACCATAATTTTTTAAGAACAAGATACAAATGAAATAACTTAAATAATAATGTTTACAAGTTAGTTTTCAGTAGTACTTCGTTTTTTTCTAAACATGTGTTTTGAGATAAAAATAATAAGAATACTTCTGACATTTTTTTAAATTACGGATTTTTTATATTAAATGTGCTCAAGCCATGTAATTTTCTCATAATAATTCAGAAAAATTAAATTTAATTTCTTAGTGGGAAAATGCATAAAGCATTCACCACCTTCATAGAATACAATGTTGGAATTCGCAAGTCATGTTTAGTGTAAGCCGACTAGTAATATAAACAAATTATTAAAGTTTTATTCAAACATCTTTCAACAGATCTTAAAATCGATATAAGGATATTAATCGTGTTTTAAACTGATCAAGTTCAATTATTTTATTATAATTCCCTCTATAATATTACTTAGTATTAGCTGAACAATATCCTAAAAGCAGACCGCTTTAGCTTCTATAGATACGTTGAAGGCCATATATTATGTGATATTGTTCAAATTACTTTTAACATTATATAATTGATTAATACTTAAAATAACCTAAATAATTATGAAAGTGTTTCTAAAATGAAACTGAACATAATATGATTGTTAAAATTTCAAAAATAGAGACCTTAAAATATCAGTGCCTTTGTAATAAATTGAAAACTTTTCTTTCGAAAACTAGGCTAATAATATTAAAGGCTTTTAAAAATAAAAAATACAATGCATAAGATTATTTTTTATTTGTGTTAGATTCTATTTAGATTTATAGTAGAAAAACTTTTTACCGGCTGGGATCAAGAAGTGCAAGTTTCTTGGCCCCGTTAGTGTCCATTTTGGTCTTTTAGCTAACACTCGTGGCACGTGTGTTTAAACATTAAGTTATTATTTTGTGACAACACAAATGGCTCAGTGAGTACACGTTATTTTGTAGACTGTTATTGAGGTCGTTAAAGTTACTAGTCAATTGATTTTAGTTCAGTGAGTGGTATTCAATATGAATCAAGAAAAGTTGAAAAAATTACAAGCCCAGGTACGCATTGGAGGTAAGGGAACACCAAGGAGAAAAAAGAAGGTACTTCACGCTACTGCAGCTACTGATGACAAGAAGTTGCAAAGTTCATTGAAGAAATTATCAGTGAACACAATCCCTGGCATCGAAGAAGTGAACATGATCAAAGATGATGGGACTGTAATTCACTTCAATAATCCCAAAGCTCAGGCTTCCCTGGCAGCTAATACATTTGCTGTAACTGGTCATGGAGAAACCAAACAAATCACTGAAATGCTACCCGGAATATTGAGTCAGTTAGGACCAGAAGGGCTAAATCAACTGAAACGTTTAGCAACAAGTGTTGCTGGAAACACTGCAGGTAAAGCTACTATTGAGGAAGATGATGAAGTTCCTGATTTAGTAGAGAATTTCGACGAAGCAAGTAAGGAAGAGGTCCCGAACAAAGAAGCTGGTAAAGAAAACGCACTCCCAGCCAAGAACTAAGTTGGCTGTATACATTAGGTAATATTGATTGATCATTTTATGTTTGTTTTCAGATTGTAAGAACAAAAAATTCTGAGTTTTTAAATCTAGTTTTATTATATATAGTGAGTGATTTAGATTTTGTCACTAGTTTCATTCTTTTAACTATGGAATTAATTTTTCAACTCTGTTTTTTACAGGTGGTGACCAGCTCGACCATCTGTTACCTGATAGGAACACTTTTGAACAGATATTCTGTTCTTGTGTGAAATATAACTTTGAAATTCAGATTTAAGTCATGTGTAAAGTTCTAGGTATTGTTCTCAATACTAAACTAAAACAAAAACAGTACAATAAAAGTTGTTCTGTCATTACTTTTTATATGTTTTCTTATTTTATATTAACTTCATCTGCCTTTGTTTAAAAACTGTGAACCGTCTTACCTTACATGTTTTAGCCGAAGTATGTGTTTCTTATCAGCCATATATATTTTTTATTTTATGAAATAGTATCTTAGCTATAGGAAATATAATGGGTCCTCATGAAATCAGATATGTTTATTGTCAGAAGTTACTACCTTATTTATCAATGTTATGAAATTGTGATTTTTTAAAAGTGTCTAGTTTAAATTTATCGGACATACTATTTGCTTCTAAGGTGAAATATTTATGTTTGGTGCTATTACTTTGATTTGGAGAGACAATTATAACCTGGATGTATTCTGAAGGAGGCATAAATTTCCAAATTTGTTTACATTTTTTTATTTGTATTGGTTAGTTTTACTCTGACAATAAATTTTTTTTCTTTTTGTTCATAATTTTTTAATGGGTTATTAGTTAACCTAGTAGAACATATATTAACTTGTATGATGTATAAATATGTAACTGAATATACATATGATGCATTTCTCTTATTTTATGTTAATCTTACCATCAAACTATAATTAGTATTATATATAAACTAACAGAACAATTTTACTGTTATATATAAACTAACAGAACAATTTTACTGTGTTAATTTGTCACTCATAATATTACTAGTAATTAAACTAAATAATTTTTGAAAAGTAAAGATCTCTTATCTCCATATGTTTTTAAAGTTGATATTGTGTTAAGTTAATATATACCACAGCAAATGTTTAAAATTGGAAAATGGAATATTGTTCATTAATTCGTCTTTTGCTATATTTATTGGATTCCAGGTCACACTAATGTCATTATGCTGAGAAAAGATGTTTATCTTTAATAAAATATAGGTTATGATTTATTCATTTAGTGCTACAGTATAATTTATGTTTGTTGTCATGGGTTATAAAATTTTAGGGAATTTTTTGTAGTTACTTTGTGTTATAAGCTCTTATTAAAAATGGGTGATCTTTTGTGAAATATGAAGGGAGAAATCGCATCGGCAATGTCAAGTTTTATACTATAATCAGCCCTAATCTACGAAGGATCTTTGGTTAAGTACTTAGTAAGTGTGTATTGTTTCTAAGCTGATAGTTGAGCAAGGTTATGATCTGGCCGACATCACACTCAACTTTCATTATTTTCTTATTTACCCACTTCATTCGCAGCTAACAGAATTAATAATTATCTAATGCAGCTGGTCTTGAATTCTGCCCTGGATGAATAGAAATAAGCTGCCTAATGAGCCACATCTCTTTCGTATGTGGTAACTTAGGGTAAATGTACCATTGATAGATACTTAAAGGGAAATTTTCAACATTTATGTGAGCTACAGCTTTAGTTCTGGTAGTGGATATTTGCCAATTAGTTTAATTGACTATAAATTAAGTATTTCATTGATTTTATACAGTTGATCACTAAATAAATTGAGGATTTTTTATATAATTCAATAACCCTTAAGAAATTGTTATAAGCTAATAATGGCAAATTACAGTGAATCAAAATTTCTAACTTATCTCGTAAAGAAAAATGACAAGTAATCCTTTCTAAAACAATCCCCATTTTCCATTAAAAAAAAGAATTGGCTATCACGGCATGGTACAATTTGAGGTACAGATATCTCCCTCTTAAGTGTTTTAACAAATATATTACTGATATTTACTTCAAATAGTTTATATTTGTTTTCGTTAATTGAAATTAAGTTTTATTTTTAACTCTATATATATTTAAAAAAATTTATTTGGATGAATTCAGTATTATTTATAAAATATGTTTTTAAGATAGTTTTCCTTTTTTTATAAATCTTTGACCAATTATTAGTCATTACATTAATCTACCTTGATGAAGTAAGTAATTTCTTTAATTATAATAAAAAAAATTCATATTTTTTCCAATGGCTAATAGCTTTTTTATTGATAGCAGTATTCAGGAATATAAGTAATGTATGGTTAATTTTTAAAATATCTTATCGGGTTTCTCTATTACTATGTCATCGTGTTTAGTACTATGTATTGTTTTATTCAGTAAATTTTTCGTAACAACTTTATTTACAGTGATAAGTTGATATTAAATCAACTTTCTACCCTCAATTAGATTTGATGGCAGCCAGAGGACAAACACGTGTGGCATTAAGTTGGAACCAACTTTTTTTTATTTCATTTACACATGTAAAAGAGAATAAAATTGGATCGAAAAGAAAAGCATTAGTTTGAACATAAATCATTAGTTCACTCTTGGACTGCCAAATAATTAAGGGTGTCCTAAAATATATATTTTTGTAATTTAATCAAGTTTGCACCTGAATACTGAAGGATGAGTCACTTAATCTTATACAGGAAATGAAGTCATTTATTTCTAATATTTATGACTACATATCTTTCTTAGATTATAAAATTCTTTTAATTAATGTTTGAGTATAGTTTTTTGTTATTATAGTGTAAAATAACTTTTTTTAAATTATATATTTTCAATCTCTATTTTAATGGCCATAAGAAGGAAAAGGGATGTTTTGTTTTGAAAAAATAATTTTGTTTCATTAGGTCATAACCTAAATTATATTGATTTCAAAATTATAAAACTCGATAGCTTTATTAATTATAATTATCTAAAAAAAATAATTGAGATGCTAATAATTTTAGCTCATTTATTTTATTATCTGCCCCTCAACTGATAGATTTAATTTTCTAAATGTCCCTATTGTACATGAAATTTTTGGCCATAGTAATTCCAGGATATTATCTTAGTAATAAAAATATTTAATAAATGATCACTGAATTTAATCATGATGAGTACAGCCCACTTGTTTGACCTTAAGTGATACAAAGAGATGATTCATATAAGCAGGTAAATGAAGTGTAGTCTAAAAGAAATCAAGCTTACATCTGATAAAACAGTATAGAAAATCAACAAGAATATATAATCTCTCAATTGAGTAGAAAAAAACAAAACAAATTTGTTTAGGAGTTATAAAGTAACTAACAAAGCTGAGGTTTATAAATTGATAGTAGTAAAGTTAAGATATATAAAATAATTAACAGTAGTGAAGTTAGAATATATAAAATTCTTGTTAATAAGTTTTTAAATAAAGTGATGAAGTTTTTCACCAAAGTGAAAAACTTGGTTAAAACTACATTCATGAAACACCTCAATGGCAAGTATGCCAAGACATCTGTCAAAACTAAAACAAATATCTGGTAATCATCCAATGATATGAAAGTTTTTAGCCTTTAAACATAAAGGCCTTATCAGTTATATATATTCTTTAAGGGGTCAAAAAGTAGAACATTTTAAACTATTTCACTTTAAAAAGTGAAGATGCATAAAATACCAAAATATCTCTGCGTTTCCTGCCTGCATGCAAGAATTTAAGGAAGTAAGTTGTTCAAAAATATTGACTGATCAGCGATGAAAATAATAGTAAAACCATCATTAGGTATTGAAGACATACATTTTAAAGTAAAACAATGATTGTTTTTATTGATTTTTTTAAAATTTATATATTATCAAATAATATTAAGAAATTTGTATGTTTAGTACCTGAATTCACAAGAAACACTAACAAATAAATATATATAAAGATCTTAATTATGAATATCTTTAGAATAAAAAAAAATTAAATGAAACAAAATAAGAGAAAATACAGTTGTTTTTTTTTTAAATAATGTTTTAAGTATGGACTCCAAGGAAGAATGAAAAGTAAAACTGGTCAAATGTGGTCTTTGAAAAGAAAAATGAGACATGAAGAAATACTTGAAAGAATAATAAAAGGTACATTGGGATCCACAAACAAGCTAGTTTTTGTTTAAATTTCCAAAAATAATCGAAATAAATAACTACCAAGGATAAAAATAGGAAAATTAAAAAAAAAAAAAAACTAATATACATACAAACCCGTTTTTTTTTTAAAATAAAAAATTGTTTTTTTAATTTTTGCCTTCGCTTCAGGACTGACTATAGATAATACAGCAACATAAAAAACATATTAACAAGAAATAGAAAAATATATCCTCTCTACTAATAAATCAATACTAAGAAAAAAAAAATGTGTATGAGATAAATTAAAATACATAAGTACTATATATAATGGCAAGGCATGAAAATATTTATAAAATATGTTAAACAGTGCATTTTAAAAATTGTGGTACAAGAAGATAATGAACTATGCTATAACACATGAAAATATTTGATAACAAGTATACCTAAGTAGTGAAAAATAAAATTAATAATTAATTTAAAAAAATTGTGGTATGTAGGACATTAATAAATTATATAGGCAGTAACAGTATCAAAGCATCAAGTAAATACTGACAAAATAAGGGTAACATAGAAATGAAATAGCGAACATATATGTAATGAACTATGCTATAACACATGAAAATATTTGATAACAAGTATACCTAAGTAGTGAAAAATAAAATTAATAATTAATTGAAAAATTTGTGGTATGTAGGACATTAATAAATTATATAGGCAGTAACAGTATAAAAGCATCAAGTAAATACTGACAAAATAAGGGTAACATAGAAATGAAATAGCGAACATATATGTATGTTAAAATATTTTCAATGGCATATGAATAAATATTATAAAGGAAGGAGATGGTCCGGGTTGGCGTTCATAAATAGGCTAAATAGTGGCAAAACTATTTTATTAAAATTCAACATTTTGACCCGATTTTGCAGGTCTTCTTCAGGGAGCTGTGTTCAGCTAGCAGTTTCACTTAAAACTGAATAAATAATATGTATATGTAGGTATTTAAACTTAAATTAATAAATATATGGAATGGAGAATATACAATATATAAATTTAGGAAGTTATAAGCTGGAACTTAAAATAACATTAGCAAAGTTAGAATATATAAAATAATGATAAGGAACTTACATACTTATGAAATAACAGATAATATTATTATTACTGTCTATTTTCTCAGTATTTATTTGTTATCTGGTATTTGCTTAGCCCTATTGAAGGTCTGAAACTTAGAGAGATATTTCAGCACAAAGATAATAAATATAATTTTTATGCATTTCCAATGACCGTAATCCCCAACCAACTCCTCTCCAATTATAAATTTTAACAGTTTTAGAAATGTTTTAGATTTTTTCACATTATTGATGTAAAATGCTTTATTCCTTTATTAACATCTGTTTGATGTGAAAGGCAATTATCACCATATTATAATCAATTAAAATAATCATGTAAACATATTTCTTAAAAATAATTAAACATTTGAGATCAAAAATGAAAACCTCACAAGGACCGTAACTGTGCAGATCACATGTGACATTATGATCAGAGAAGGAGCATATAAGGCAAACATGGAAATAAATTTACAGCCAAATTAGTTCATCTGATAATAATGATAATGGAGGACAATCTATGCTTTGTCACAACAGGAACAGATGTATGGCAGTATGCCGGATTTCTCTAGTATTTAACTTCTGCCACATAAAACCACTATAAATGCGTGCATTTAAACAATAGGAAGACTTCTTAGCAGGAAATTTCGGATTTTAGATTTATATCTTGAAGGAAAGACTCTAAACACTGTGAGATCAGCTTTTAAGGCATTGGAAGAATCTGAAACTAATTATCAGTGAAGATGATGAAAGTGATGCAGCAGTATAGATTTAAAAGTTTACAATCCTTGATTTACTCAGGATCCCAGATTAATCAAAAGAACTGTCTATTTCTTTTATCTTAATTTTTCCTTTTTCCCGTTCATTTGTGTATATTGATACATTTGCTCATTACATCTTATTTACATTATTTCAATTTTTTTATTCTCTTATACGTAGTCAATATGTTTTGATACATTTGAAAGTATCTCAATTTCTCTATTTACATCTGTTCTTTTCTTTATATAACTTCATATTCCTTTTCTCTGTTTTACATTTTATTCTATGATTATCTCACTTCCTTTTAGCATACTATGACATCATATTATAGCGACTATGTCATCCCATTTATTTCTACACTTACGTTTTTATCTGATACATTCCAATATATTTCATTTTTAATCAATTTTTCATTTCTTATGTTACCTTATTTTGATTATGTTTATTTCATTAGTCCCTACTTTGTTGCCGTTACTATTTATTTCATAGTTCTCTGTTACTGTTATTATTTTATTCATAATTTCCTAGCTTTGTTACCGTTATGTTATATATCCTAACTTTGCTTCCGCTACTTTCTACTCCTAACTTTATTATCGTTATTTTATATTTCCTTTAAGTTTATTCTACCTACATTTTTTAGACTCTTTCATCTACATATTATTTTTCTTTTTAAATTTTTTAATGTTAACAGTTTCTCATTTCTATTGTTATCTGTTTTTTTTTCTTAGCCATGATGAAGGTCTGAACTTTGGACTGAAACTATCGGAAGACTGCATAGAGCCACTTCAACTCGGCATACAAACTGTAGACGTGGGAACCCCTGAGGATTCCAAAAATAAATTTACTGAAAAAATTCATTTATTACTGAAGATTGTCAATTCATCCACTATTATTTATGATGTAATTGTTATTATTTATATAAAATAAGTCTTATTTTGTAACAGTGAGACAGTCACAATCTGAGGTGTATTCAAACATAAATTGTGATCTCTACAATAAACCTTAAGATGTAACACCAGCATACACAATGATTTAAGACATCCAAGCAAGAATAGTACTTTTTTTTTCATCATTTCAGTGGAGTTTTTTTACATCAATTTTACACTTCATATAATATTTATGGAGTGTAGAATAAACACAAAAAAGTAATTATAAATAAATAGAATTTTTATACTATAATCTGTTATAATTACAATTTTTGTATTACAATTTTTCCAATTAAAAGCATAAAGTTAGTTATCCACAGTTTTCTAAGGAAATTACTAAGGTGGAATATTTATCACCTTAGAACAAATCAACTTTCTTAGCGTTCAAGATCTCTTAGATGAATTGTGGTATGTTGGATGATTAAGGAACTTTTCATCATAAGCAGGAATATTGTAAATGACGGGAAAGTATATTTTTTTTTTTTTGTTCGACAAACACAGAAGATCAGTATACAATTAAAAAGAAACATGAATTTTGGTTATTCATACATCTGTACATCTTAAAGATGTATAAATGAATTCATCAGTTTTGTTATTGTAAAAGACCTAGTTTGTAAATTTAAATCATTAGTTTTATAAACTAAACATTTACTTAACAGTACAATACATTCCATATCTATAATTCATTATTTTGTTTTTATGTATATGAATTTAAGTTATGTACTTGTATTCTTTACTTATTGAATATATACTATAAATGAGAAAAATGTAGTGAAATATGAGTGCTTATTTTTATTTCTCTTAAAGACTGTTTTTAATTTTGTAAAATATATTATAAATAAACTTGTGTTTTGTATATTACAACCCAAATTTACCACAGCGAAAACTTTGAACTTCAGACTGTTTGTTTTTCTATCTTCCTTTTCTTAGATTCAAAAACAAAAATAATAGAAGAAAATAACAATAAATTAAGGAATGAGGATATGAATAAAGTAAAATAATATGTATCTATTATTATTTATATTCTTACTACTCCCTTTATCCTTAATTTGCTGGTTTTGATTATCTTTTTGTTATTTATTTCTGTCTATACTATATACATTTATAGGTCTCTTGTATATCTGATTCAATTTCAATCTTGACAAAGACCCAAAAGTTTCTATTGAGAGTTGTATTTTTCAATAAAATAATGATTGAATCCTGATAATTTTTTACATTGTATAAACAATAATCAAAATATTCTATAATATTAACAATTAGCACAAGATTGTTTTCAAATACTATTTTTGGTATGTTAAGATTTTAACTATCAAAAGGTTTTACATAAAAGCCAGTGCCAAAATTAAAAAAACAAAACAACATTCAATGAGAAAACTCTAAGAATGAATTATTCCTTATGAACATGAATAATTTGATAAGATAGAAACTTACCTTCAACATTTGAAGAAACATTTAGCAAACAGTTTTATTTTGAATTAGATATACATTCAGATGATATAAATCTGTAGTTAATAATACATACAGAAATGAGCATCAGTGTTTGATTATAAAGAAAGAATAGGATTATTTAAAAAAAAAAAAAGGTTCACAGAAACACATTTATTTGTATTCTTCGATTATGTTTTGCCATGTATATAAAAATACATGACACAATTACTACATACAGTACCCATACAATTTATAAATACAATTCACTGTTGATATCACTAAATGCTTTCAAAACATCACTAGAATCCCTCTGTACACTTTAGAGAAACATATTGATTTGTTTTAACCTATTATGGTTTACCATATATTTAAAAATACATAAGTGAATTTATAAGCACAGTTCACTGTTGATATCTCTAGATTCATTTAAAACTTCACTTCACTCACTACATACACTTTTAAGAAACTAGCGATAAATAATAAAACTGAATTCCGTAATTTCTAATGAAAAAAACATTATGAAGTAATGTATCACTTAAGACATGAAAGAATCAGCCACTAACTTCGGCTATACAACAGTCAAAACAATGTACTTCAGAAAGAAAACATTTCATAGTATTTATTACATAGTATTATTATGGAATGTTTTAAAGTCCTTTCGTTTTAAAAACTGAATTAATAAACATTTAAACTATATAATAAGGCGAAAACAACAATTTTAGTGATCGTTTATAACTTTAAACGAATTTTGAATAATATTTTAGATAACTATATGAAGGTAGCAGGACTATCGAACAAAACATTCGAATAATAGTTCTAAAAGCCAATAAAAGAGAGCAGCACCATCCAATAAATGCGTAAAATGTAATATTAGTTCCAAAATCCGTTAAAAGAGTTCAGCACCATCCAGAGGCGGCAAAAACTGCATTTAGTTCAAAAACCTATTGTAAGATAGCAGCACTATCCAGGGAACCTCTGAAGGAAACACGAAATTCGAACGTAGTTCTTAAAACTGCCGCAAGGGGCCAGCATCATCCAACAAGCATAAGAAATTGTAGTTCCTATGTTCTGCCGCTAGATAGTAGCACTACCCGGACTCCTGATCGACTCGAAAAGTGAGCTCCTGCGACTCCCCACTATCCTGATACAAATCGACGAATTTCTCGCAAGAAATTCAAGTAAAATTCGTAGTTCCTGTGTCCCGCCAACAGATAGCACCACCGTCGGTATCAGGACCTCCTCGAAAAGTGAGCTCCTTTTATTTCCTGCTATCCTGATACAAAATAAAGATTTTCAGCTCTGAATTCGTTCGTCGGATGCTTCTGGGACCAGTTTTTTTTTGTTTTTCTTGTTTAATCGTGCTCGGAATTGACAGAATATTTAAAAATACGTCCGAAATATTAAAATAATTAGTTTTTTTTCTTATTTCGTCCTAAATCTCCAAATTTTCACCATTCAATAAATTGTATAGTATAGAACTTGTTTATTCAAGCTGGGAATAGATAAAAATATTTTAGAATTGTTCGGAAAATTTAAAATGCTTAATCTTTTTTCTTATTTCCAACAAATATAAGAAAAACAATTACAGTTCTTCCTAATGTATGTTATTTTATTAAATTGATACTTTTCTTTCCGGATAATATCTATTTGTAATATTATACAGTATATTTCTTGTTTGTTCATGCTTTGAATAAATCAAAATATTTTGGAATTGTTAAAAAAAAATCAAAATGCTTTATCTTTTTTCTCATTTCGTATAAATATAAGAAAAATAAATTACAAATCTTCAAAAGTAAGCCTAATTAATATAAATTGCAATTGTTTCAATGCTACTTTATACAACAAAAAGTTTTTTAATAGTCTTTTGTTGACAATAAAAAAAAAAAGCGAACTATAGTTTCCACTTATTTTATTTATGACCTCCACTCTGAACCATCTCTTCTCTAGTGTTTTTTTTTTTTATGTATAGTTTGTTCGTGGAATAGGAATAGATTGTGGTTTTTTTTGTAAAAAAACCTTTATTTCATTTAAAAATCTTATTTCATACATTATATAATGTTATGAACTGTTATTTTTTTAAACAGTTATTATGAGCTGTTCTTTCTTGTTTACGTTACTTTTTAAAACGGGAGTCTTGGTAGTGCTGTTATCTAGCGGCAGATTCTGAAACTACAATTTCGTATTGGTTTGTTCCTGTGAGTTTGTCCCTTCTAGTGAATTTTGAACAATTAGTGCCTTTTTTTATATTTATTGGATAGTGCTATACTTATTTTATTAGATTTTAATACTATTACTCAAATTTTTGTTCAATAGAGCAACCTTTAATCAGTTACTCAAACTATTATCCCAACTTTGTTTTAACTTCTAAAGAATTACTAAAATTGTAATTTTTGCATTGTGGTGTTGCTTAAATGTTTAATTATTAATTTCTTAATGTGACAGTCCAGTATAGTTTTCCATAATGTGTTAATAGGTTAAAATCGTGTGTAATAAATCATCTTATTTGTTTTCCTCTCGAAGTATATAGTTGTTACATAGTTTTGAGTTTAGTGTCTGGTCACTTTTGGTTTAAATAATTGATTATTTTGTAATGTATTTTCACTATAATTTACTTAATTTAGTTTTAATATTTATCACGGGTTTCTCAAATGTTTTAATGTGAGTGAAATGAAGTTTTGAAGGCATCAAGAGATATCGACAGTGAACTGTGTTTATAAATATTATGGATACCTAATAATTATGTATTTTTAAATATGTGGTAAACTGTAATAGAAGGAAACAAATAGAAGTGTTTCTATGACAAGTTCTTTTTATTTTATCCGATTCTTTCTTTGTAATTAAGCACATAGATGCTCATGGCTGTATGTACTATTAACTACTGATTTATATTATTTAAATGTATATCTGATTCAAATTAGAACAGTTTGCTTAAATTGTTGTCAAAGGTTACAAAGAAATTTAATTTTTTATCTATTAAACTATTCATGTTCATAGGGAATAGTTTATTCTTGTATTTTCCTTCAAAGTATTCCTTTTAAGTTCAACCCTGACTTCCATTTAAAATGTTTTGGTACTTAAAATCATAACATTTTAAAAATAATATATGAAAATTATCCTCTACTCATAGTTAATATAATAAGATATTTTGATTGTGGTTGATTGATTATGATGTATATCATGAAATAAATAATTAGGATTCAATCATTATTTTATTACAAAAGCCAACATTTCAATGAAAACTTCTAGGTCTTCTTCAATCCTTAATTTAAATCAGATATGCAATGGATATAGTTATATGTATAGTATAAAAACAGAAATAAACAACAAAAAGAAAAACAATAAAGTAAGGAGTAAGAGACAGGAATAATAAATAATAATAGAGATACATTTTATTTTATTTATTGCTTAATTTATCTTTCTTTATTTTTATTATATTGCTTTTTGGAAGAACGGAAAAAAAAAGGTTGAATTTTTATTTATTTTTTTCTCTTTATTGCTTAATTCACAACTGTCAGTGTTCACTGAAATCAGCGAATGTTATTACACTAATCAAGTACTGAAGAGAATCACTCA